GTCAAAGGTTCTTTTTCCCATTCACATAAGTAACTTATAAATTAAAGAACGAAAAATTATTTTCATTTATCGTAAATAAAATTATTAAATTTCATCAACGTAATGATTAAAATAACACATATTTTTTGTAAAATATATTAAAATTAATTAAAAAATAATATAAAAAAACACATATGGCTCTCTTGTTTATTAAAAAAAATTACTTACAAAGAAATATGACTCTCTTTAATGTTTTAAAATTCTCTTGGCGAGCCTTGCAATTACCAAAACTTGCTGGGATATTTTTATTCTCTTTTTTTTTTTTTCCTCTTGGAAGCGTGGGAGCATGTTTCCTACGAATCAATTTTGAAGCTTCAATATAATAAAGCGAAATATTTCTCATAAGATTGACCAAAAAAAATTTTCTGATAGAATCATATGATGAAAAGGGCCATTAGTAATATTGTATTAGAACCATTAATGCCTCTGTTTTTTGGGCTAATTGTTTATGTAGATAATGTTCTATGCTTTATAGCATTATTTATTTATAAACTTTGTTGGCTAAACCATTAGTTATTGAGGTTACCAAAAAACATGGTCATTAATTAAGCACTAAAATTATTTGATAGTGGAAAATACATGAGCCAGCAGCACCTATCTCCACCGCCAGAAACACTGCCTCCACGATATGTGCTGTTCCATTGATAATTATGGGCCAAACTTTTCTACTTCATTGTCTATATTATTATTAATCAATTATTCCGATTGTTAAAACTTAAATGGCATTATTTCACATAGGTTATAAATTTTTTATAATTTTATATTCAAATTAAATATTCACTTTTTATCTTTTGATATAAATTATATGTTTAACATGATATAGAGTTAGGTTTGTTCTATTCTTCCTGTTTTATGCTCTTCATTAGTTTGTCACATGCTAATCTCATATATGCTAAAAGGTAATTAATTGTTTAAAAATGATCTTTTTTACCTATTATCAATTAATTTTAAATTTGATGGTTAATACTAATATTTTATGGAAATATCAAATAATAAGACATTTGTATCAAATACTAATATTTTAAATTTCCATTCGGTGGTTCCAGCTAGAGGAGCCTGTGATTCTGAAAAACACGAGGTCTTTACGCGTATTCTGCTGTTTCTGCATGCTCTTTTCCCTCCAGTCACGGCGCAAGGTTTGAATCGATCATCCGAAAAAGAAGAAATTGATGCAATTTTATATGGATTGCTGGGTATTTCAATTGAAGGTAGTCTCCATATTCCATGTATTTATGATAAAAATAGATCATAAAATTATAGGCAATGGAAAATTATTGTTCAACCAATTAAATGTACAATGAACAATGGACAATCTTTAAATTTAAGGTCATAATAGGCAGCTCTCACTCCGACATGGATATTTTGTCACGCATGCATCAAGAATATCCTAGTCCTACTTATGCTGTCAGCTACAGCATTACAATTCACGTTGACTTATAAGATAATGTTTGATTTAATTTTGTTAAATTTTATGATTTTATTTTATAAAAAATACTTTCGATTCTGTTGAGTTTTACGATTTTATCTTTTCATAATTTTATTTTATAAAAATTATTTTATAAATTAAAAAAATATGAATATTTATATTTTAAAATTAATTTTTATATAAAATTAATATAAGATTCATAACTACATATTTTTTTTAATCTAACAAGAACATGATTACATCTTTTTTCAATTCAACGAAAGTCTTATTAATACTTCAAAATTTATTATAATATTAAATTTTATAATTCATATCAACTTATGAAAGTTTTTTTCGCTTTAGTCTCATTGGTTCTCATGATTTTTTTTTTTAAATACCTCACTAAAAGTGACGTGAACGTATATATTCTAAAATCATTTTTAGTATATAACCTATGTGAAATTGATTACTTTACTTTAAGACTACGACACACAGCCAGTGTAAACTCGAATTTTGCAGAGGGTAAGGCCTTGCAACTAACAATTTTAAGGGCCCAGCTCCAAAAAAAATTTTTTTTCATTCGTTCAATATGGAAGCAATAATCCTCTTCTTTGAAAAAAATAAAAATATTATGAATTTTAAACGAATTAAACGAATAATTAAACGAATTTTTTTTAAAAAAAAACTATTTTGTCAATATTTTCTTTACTCTATTCATAGGCACAAGATCATTAATTAAATTTACAATTTATACTTCCAGATAATAAAAATATCGATTAGTGGATAAATAAATATCATTACATTTCTTATGTAATAGCTAAAAACTATATGTTCTTTTTTTTTTCTTTGCATTTCTGATATATTCAGATCATCATAACCACAGTCATCCTTTCATGAATATATATGGATTAAATATTTAGTTCTTTCTCAGTATATCACAGAATATAATTAAATTATTAATTTAAAGTATATTTATTGATAGATAAATTAGTTTTTATACTGTAATTTATGTAAAAAAATATTTGAATTAAAAAATAATACTATTATATTAAAATTAAAAAAATTATATTATATATAAATAAAAAATAAAAAAAATCACACAAATTATATTTTGAACTTATTACATTGAATATTAGTTTGAAAATATAAAAATTTATAATATAAAATAATTACAATTAATTGTGAAAAGAAAGATGTTTTTATTTTATATATTAAATAAGTAATATTGATTATTATTAATTTTATATATTACTTGATAACAAAAATTTCTTACCTCTTTTAATAAAAATTAAATCACTTTCTAAAGTAATGATACGATCACTTTCAATAATTTAAAATCATCGTCACATATGACTACTAAGAGAGATCTAGCATAGCAAGACCTTAATCTCTCACGATTGATCCAATGGACCTAGTTGCTAGCTTGACCCCCGGATTCGTCAGACATAGAGATTACCAAATATGATAATCTAATCATTATATGAAAATTTTTATAATTGTTTTGATTGATCATCTCGTACAAAATATTATTTAAAAGTAAAAGCAAATAAAAGAGATTATTTCCATGTGTACAATCTCTTCCTTGATTTACAAACTGCAGTATCTTTTATAAAATAAATTATCAATGCTTATATGATCACTTAGGTAGTGTTTTATATCATTTCAAGATCATCACGATAATTTTATTATCAAGATAATCTTATTACTGAGGTGATCTAATCACTTGTAATATGGAATCACTTTATTTAATTAATAATAATTAATTCTTAAAAATTAAAAATTATTGTATTTAGTATTATTAAAATCAAATATCATTTTGTTTGAAAATATAAAAATAACCATGTATATATATTATAATAAATATATAAGTTAATGATTTCAATATTATTTAAAGATAATAATTAGTAAAATATTAGTATTATTTTATTTATTTTATAATAAAATACAATTAAATTAACAAATTTATTATTTATAAACAAATATACTTATTGATAAATAAATTAATTTTTTTAATATAAATTTTGTAAAAAATATGTTGAATTAAAAAAATGAAACTAATCCATATTAAAATCACAACAAAAGAAAAACAAAAATTATATTATATTAATAAAACATTAAAAAATTAAAAAAAAAAAACACATCAATTATTTTTGAATTATTACAATAAATATTTAATTTAAAAATAATAAATTATAATATAAAATAATTAAATTTTAAAATAAAATAAATTTTTAATTCACATATTAAATAAATAATATTAATTATTATTAATTTTATATATTTATCTCGATGATAAAACTTTTTATCCTTTTGATGGAAATTAGATCACTTTTTAAGGCACTTATATATATTATTAATTACATATTATGTGTACTTAAAAACTTGCACAAGAATTTATTTTTTTTTTAGGAAAATTGCCCTGGAATTTTAGTTATATATATTATTTATAAAGTGTAAGAAGGAAAGTTAATTAGTTCTTCACTTTATACAATATTGTATGCGGATACTTATATTTAAAAATAATTGCTTAATTACTAAAAAGATAAATAATTTTTTAATTTCTAAATAAAATTTAACAAATCTAAAATTTAAAATTTTACTTTTAGGGCCGAATGGTTCGTAAAATCTTGAATTTTAGAGGAAAATTTGATACATGTGGTTTAGATTTATTTTCAGAACATCCCTTAATTAGATTAATTCATTTGGTTTGAAAAAATCTTAGTTTATTAATTCATATATAATTATTATAATCTTCTTAATAAGCTGTATATAACATTTTATTTTGTTTTAATAAATAAACTTAAACTTCAAATGATACCTTTAGCATTAAAAAAAAAAGAAAATTTTAATTTTTTAATTAAATATACCAAATTATGGTATTTAACTAGATATCAAACCATAATTATTGTATTTAAATATAAAAAAATCAATTACAGTGTTTGAAAGAGCTGGACGCTTTATTTTTTTTATAAATATGTTAGAAAAAAATCAAATAAGGGATTTGTTAAAAAATAAAACACTTTATTTGTTTTTGTAAAAATTTTAAAAAATCATTTATCGAACAAAGTGTTTGCAAGAAAAATCGCTTTAATTAATATCAATAAGATACTTATAAGAAAAAATACTTTAATTGATAATAATTAAGAGGCTTATAAAAAGAAACATTTTAATTGATATCAATTAAGATTTTTTTTTATAAATATTTTTAATTATTATATATTAAAATTAAATTTAAAATAAGATAAATTTTTAAAAAATTAAAATTAAATTTTAAATTTACTTTTAAAAAAGATAACGTATATGATAAATTATTTATTCAAATCAAATTTAAAAATAAGTCAATTTTTTTTCATAATCTTAAAATATCACATGAAAAGTTAAATTTTTTATTCTAATTTTTTTATACTATTAAAAATTTAATATTTTGTCTGTAATCAAATTATTTTAAATTTAATGTAAAAAATAAATACTCATCATTAAAATTTTTTAAAAAATTTGTAAAATCTTCCCTACCAATCGCACTCTTACAATTTTTTTATCCGAACGGAGACTCCTTTATAAAAAGGTGACTTAATTACCGTAAAGATAATGATTTTCACATCATACTGCTTGTGTTTTTCAAAACTAAAGCCTCTGCGATTCCAAATTTTGTTTCTTGTTTTTTTCACTCTTCTCAAAGAAAAAACAAAAAAAAGGGAAAATCTGCACGCTTGATTAGATTTTCTTCTTCTTCTTAACCAAATTCCCATTTCATTTGCTTTCACAAAAGTTGAAACAAAATCTCTCTTGCCAACTTGAGGGTACTTTCCAACGTCGTTACAGAGTCAGTTCATTTGCACCAGATATCAGTTAAAGCACCAGTCCTTTTAACTAAGACAACTCTTTGTTCTGTTCTCTTCCTCTTTAATAGTGTTTCTTTAAAGCCTTGTTTGTAAATCACGACATATGTTTGATTTTAAGAATAGTCTATTGGTGTTAGAAAATCTTGGAAGTTTTTGACTTCTAAAGAAGGATTTGGGCGTCCCTCTTTTCTTTTTTTTCTTTTCTCTTCCAATCAGGTGGTTGATCAAGAGTGCCCATTTGATACGCAATTGTTGACGCTCTATAGAGTCCTAATTCCATCTCTTCTTACTTTTGGCTCTTCCTTTATTGTTTTTATTAATCTTTGCTTCACTTTCCCGAGAAAATGAAGGACATGACGGAAAATCGAAAGTTGGTAAGCAGAGTATCTCTGGGTTTTTTCCCCAATATTTTATTTCCTTTTTTCGTTTTTCTTGTAACTGTTTAATTGGTTTTTATCATCATCATCTATCGTTCTATTTCTAATAAAATTCCTTAAAATTTTGATCTTAATTTCAAGTTAAGGGATGTTCGGTCTTTGTTTTTGTACCTCTGACTCTGTCTTGTTGGGTTCCTGATTTGGTGATAGGATTCGGCATCTTCCTACGATGGTTGTGGGTCAGAAGAGAAGACATCCTCACAAAAAATTTCAGTTTCGGATCATATTAATGGATTTCAATACACAAACTATAAACCCGATAGCTTTGTTATTGACATGGAAAGTTTCTCTCATGGAGGAACCAGTAAAGAAATAAATCCAAATTCAAGAATCACTGTAAGTTTCCTTCTTTTTTTGGGATAATTTCAAATATGCTATATTTTTTGAATGACACGTGTTCATAGCTCAAGCATCCAGTTCATGCATGTTTGAAATTCTACTTTTTTACAACAAGAAAGAGTATAAATGCTTGTTTTGCTGAAATTTTCATGAATTTTTGAAGCTAAAGAAAAACCTTTTGAGATACCACATTAACAACCTGCCCATGACTTTGCGGTCATCTCAATATATAAAAAATATCACCATTTTCTTTTCTTTTTTTTTTTTTTTTATTGTTGTTGTTATATATGATTTTTTTTTTTTTTTGTTTTTCTTCTGTTAATTAAAAAAAAAAGTTGCAGCGAAGCCTTTCACGCAAAGGGTCTCAGCGAGGCGACAAGAAGATTATTACTCCCAATTGTGTTAATTCTAATTCTAGTTCCACTCTCGATGATAGAGATTCTGTGGCCGCCACTAACCCCTCATACAGAGGTACAAACTTTTTCTCCACAAATGAACATTAATTGCTTTGATTATACTAATTGCATTGTCAATTTACCATTTGCTGTTTTTTAAACTCTTAACTCCAACTTTTCCCAGGAAAAATTTTCCTGGAAAAATGAATGGGAACAGTTTGGCTCGGATGTTATAAGTTTTTCCCAAGTTTAATGCTTCAATTTTCTTGACACATATGGACCTTTGGCCCCTGTTGTGAGAGAGGGTGTTGTTGCATAATTGCATATGTAGGACAGACTAATAATAGTTAGAATAAATTAAGATTTGGACATATTTGCTGTTTGCCATATTGTAGTTTAATACACTATTTTCCATCAACGACCAGGACCAATGGGCTTACACCCCCTTTGCTCGACAATTATACAGTTGATTTTGTTATTATTAGGCTATAATATATCAATTAATTTACTACTAAGATTCTCGAGAAGGTTTGGTTTTTTAGTATGTGCTGGCACACATGCCAGGCTTGAATTTAACTTGTTAAATACAGGGCTGTTATTCAGTAGTTCTCATTTAACAAAGAAGAGGGCAGTAACTGAATTTGAGTTCTGCTGGGTGTCTAATAAATTGGTGCAAAGTTCAGATTCCAAGAGTATCGTCCTTTTTGTTGATGTTCTTCTCCTGGACGTATGTTCTCATGTATTGTTGGAAATTTTAGGGTAAAATGCCTGTTAATTTACATATTTTATTTGTGAGATTTAGGCATGGAATTATTGAATTGTGCAACTACTCTGCTAGGGTCTAGCACGCTTGAAAAGCCCACGGCGGTGGCTGTAGGGTCCACCGATTATGCCAGCAACCCACAAGTTCATCATCAGATCACCATTACAACTGGCAATATCGCTGCTGCCACTGACAGCAGATTCAGTTTAAGGAGAAATAGTTTCAGGCGGTCTCCTCCACCATGGCTACTAGATCCCAGGAGGATTCTCATGTTCTTTGCCACATTGTAAGTTGCAGCCAATTGGAGGTTCACTTGCAAAGATACAAAATCTTAGCAATTCAATATATTGGGGGTGAAAATTTTCCTCTTTTGACAGGTCGAGCATGGGCACAATTTTGCTGATATATTTCACTTTGTCAGTAAGCAAAATGAATGGAGATGAGAATGCTTTAGATTAGTAGCTGGAACGATACTCACCAACTTATTGCTCTGATTAAAATATGTTGAAATATAGCACACACATGGGAGTTCAATGCGTGACAAAAAGAAATGGATGCGAGTGGTTGTTAGTGAGGCTCTTTTTTACAAGAAATGTCTTCTTTTGATGAGAAATTGAGAATTATCCAGGTAGTGAAGAACAAAAAGAAAGATCAAAAGGAAGACAAATTGGGCCAGAGGACGGCAAAAGCAAATCAACCCTCCCAGTAAGATGACTTAAAATTTAGCAGTTATCAACTTTTTGAGGCATCTTAGAGAAATTTTGGAGATGAGGACAAAGGCATACTCCACTGTGACAAAGAGATGGAATCTTCCCTTTTTAATTATATATATATATATATATATATATATATATGTATGGAAGAGATAAAAAAAAAAAAAGTTGATAGATTACATTTTTATGCATTTTTATGCTTTGTTGTTTATCTCCACAGTCGATGCAGATGAAATGGAGGATCAGAAGTTACTTTTGTGCCCCATCTTTTCTTTTTCCTTCGCCATACCTTCTCTTCAGTTTCCTTTTCTGGCAATCTAACATCAAGTGCTTTTCGCTCGGTGGCTTTCACGTGAGCGAGCAAAGGAAAAATCATAGCTATGAGATTTACAGGGCACTAAAGTATTTGTATATTTGCACATAAGCATGCGCACTCGAAGCTTCCTACTCTTTTCGGACCAAAGCGTGGGCTTCGGGTGATAAAAGTGTTCTTTTCTAAAGGCTCGTAGGGTTGGTTAACACAGCACTCGAATAGGCCTAACACCCACTCACGCAGTCATACTTCAGTTGGAAGTTAACAAAGGTCTAATTTGGATGGTCAGTTGCCACCAGCGGAGCGCGGTTCTTCCCTAAAGGACTGGCCATCCATTTAGCCATTTGCGTAACGACACTTGCATGTTTTCACTGCACTAGAACAATTTTTATATTGAACCTTAAACGTCCAGAGGAAAAACTAACTGCCCATTACATTTTTTTTCCTAATAAACTTTTGCTTTCTTTTTTATCCTTGAAATTATAACAAAAGGACGAAAATATCCTTCCACTTAACTTTTTCTTTCTTGTTAATTTTTTTCATTTTTGATTTTTTATTGAAAAGTTTTTAAATAACTTTGTTAATTTAATATAATAAATAAAAATTTATATTTATATCATAAAAAATAATTAATAATACAAAAAATATATAATTGAATATGACTTTGTTAAGTTTCAATTTATTTAAATATATTAGTATCATATTTTTAAATTATTTGATATATTATTATATTTTTATTAATTTTCAGTCATTTATTAACACAATTTTTATTTGACATAAAAATAATTTAATAACTTTAATTATTTATTAATTTTGTACAAATTTTATTTATATACAAATTTTAATATAATATTTTGAATGATCATTTTATATTTTTACTATAATTCACTTCATCACTATATTTTTTTTACACTTAAATATATATCCAATTATTCATTTTAATTTTATCGTTGTAATAATTAATTCATCTTTTTTATTATTTCAATCTCATTCAAATTGATCACTCTCCCCTCCAAACGAACCCTAATTTCTGATACAGATACAATGCCAGGTTTCGTGTGCTGAGCGATTTCAAGCAGTAAAATAGAGGTAAAACCAGATGCATCATGCGGTTCGAACATCGAGGCAACAAACAAAACGGAATTACAGGCAATTTGCACAACAGCTAAGCTATCTATGACATTGACTATCGAGAAAAGCTGCAGCATGCATTGTTTAATTGTTTCAGTTCCTTGAAGCCACACCTGATCCCAGGGTACAATCTTTCCTGAGAAAATCATAATTGATGACTTGTACTGCTGAAACTGATTCCAAATACCTCGATCACACATTCAAACTTTCAATCGTTATCATCAGCACCAGATAAAAAAAAAAAAACTGTTTTTTGGACAAATTTTCCAAGTAAGGGAGGTGGGTGTATGCCTCCTCTCTCTCTCTCTCTCTCTCTCCCCCAAACTAACCTAGTAACTTAGCCTGACCTACTAACTACTAAGCCACCAATGATTTTTTTTTTCTTTTAAAACACAGCTAAACCAGATAAGCATCGATTCTAAAATCAACAATGAAGAACTTGAACTAAGGTTTTCCATCTAAAGCAACAAAACTGTTTGTGGGTTAATAATTTATTTAAGTAGGACACCATATGACCAATGTTCTGATGGTCTCTCCGCAATATCAATCCCTTTCCACTGCTCTTTGGCTTATCATATTTTTGAATCATGCAGCCACCCTAGGCCACCTCTTCACTCAATTAGGAATCTCTCACCACTCTTTCGAAGATTATCTATAGTGGGTACCATGAATAGACCCCCTTTACCTAAATGCCATTCACTGTATAAACAAAAAAGAAAATCCTTTGTTTAGATTCATTGACACAGAAACAGTCCGTCTCAACCACATGAAACATGTGACAGTATAAGACAACTTAACGTATTACGATACAGAACCCAACAAAATCACTAATAACCTTCTCAAATATAGGAATAAAACAAACTTCATAAAGGCATTTCAGCAAACTGAAGTTCAAAAACCAGTGTAGTCATAGCTGATGAAAACCTCTGGAGGTATGGAAATCAAGATCACCTAGAAAATATGGATTGATGCCTCAATCATGGATAAAATCAGACACAAGCAGCCTTGGGGTACAATACAGAGGCAAAGAAACCCAAATAATAATAATAATAATAATAATAATAGATGATTAAAGAAAAGTTAGATCTACCACTCAATAATTCTGGTACTAAATTACCTCCACAAAACCAATATATGAGGTTTTGGAGATGATGAAGTTAAGTAGTCACTTTAGATAAACCATTGGAGTTTATAACCACGTGTAACAAATACATAGCCGCTACTTTACGAGAATCTTAAGATGTTTTTTCTTTTGGCCAACCTTTAGATGTTCAACTAAGACAAAGGAAGAAAAACTGCGTAAGCAAACTATGTGGCTGTAATACACTAGTAGTTACTGAAGTTCATAATCAGTGAAATACTGATACTCGAGATGGAAAGAAGAAACATATACACTTGCTATATTTCACCTTGTTTTCCCAACCATTCACCATCTGAGTTACGAAGTAATTCTCTGTAACTATGAGGCAGCAACCTCAGACTCCAGCTGTCCAGCATACCTGAAAACAAAGAACTTGCCATCTCATTGCTTTATTAGTAACGTTTTGAGATTCCTGGCATTGAACACTTGTGCTTCCGATCATGGTAGAGCCTCAATATAACAGCAGCAGTTTCTTCAATTGCTTTTTCTGTCACTTCTGCACTCATAAGTATCATTAGGTGAGCCCAAGATTTCATCAGCTGAACATGTCAAACATCTTTAACTTTTGAATATCAATTTTTACTATAATTTTTCTCCTATTAAACTTACATATGGGCTCTAAGTATCTGCATTCTGAACTATCAAAAGAGTTGGGAGAACAAAACAAAAATAGAGTAAAACAGTTAATTATCTTTACCAATAACTGGCCAGACAGGATTTTGGGCAAAAACCCTGCGAGCAAACTCCAACTCCTGTCTCACATAATCCATCTCTGAATAGTTACTCCTTGCTTCCTTGCTGAAGCCCAGACTCTTAGCTCTTGCTTTTCTAATAGTTTGCAAGACCAAAGGATTAATAGTCAAACCAAAAACCTTCTCAGGGTCTACCTCGAAAAGTCCCTTTGGCAATGCCACTCCCTTCACAATAGGCACATTTGCCACTTTATATCCTTTCTGTGCTAGATAAATTGATAACGGTGTCTTCCCAGTACGAGAAACACCCGTGAGAACAATGTCAGCCTTGCACAAGTTTTGGGGTAGAGCCCCATCATCCTGCTTGATTGTAAATTCAACAGCTTCAATCCGTCGAAAGTATTCATCCGAAAGAGGAAAGTTTCTCCCAGAAGCTCCCCGGGGAAGACCGGAGGGTGAGACACCCAAATGAGCGGCAATTGACTCTGTAATTGGACCCAATATATCCGTAGATGGCATACCCCACAATTTGCAAGCTTGCTTGGCGGACTCTGCCATGTAAGGATCGGCTAAAGTGTAAACAAGCATTGCACCTTCCTTGGCTGCCTGCTTTATAATCTCCATCAATCTCTCAACATCGTCAATCTGAACATTGCATATCACATTGTCAAAGAATTAATCCAAAAGGCACTACTTTTATGATCAGAATCTCCCAACCTAATATTTTTCAAACATTAAAAAAAATTCAAATTTCATTACAAATAAATAAACTTGAATAACAACTAGAACAAAATATGCAATTTTTTTTACTTACTTTAAAAGACAGTAAAAAAAAGTTAGTACTTTCACTCTTTATTATATTTAGTACTTACTTTAAAAGGAAAAATAAACCCAAAACAAGCAGACAACCTTAAATATGGCAAAACTTTAGTAGGATTCATTAGTAACTGAAACAAATTCTGTTAAGATATGAAACTAAGTGAAAAGACAAACATACCCCTGAGAAAAGATGGGTATTTACGGGGCACACACGGTCCACCAAGCAATGCTCGAATTGCCCCAACGCCGCGTTAACGGAATGCTCCACCGTCCACCCAGTTCCATCAGATACCATATAAATTGGCTTCACCGATGTTGTTACCTCCACCTCATGACCGCTGTCACTGACCGTTGCAGTGGATTCCAAAGACAGGCTCTCTCCAGCTCGTTGAACCAAGTGGTTCACTTCAAGCGCTCCCGTCCGGTGGCTCGGTCGTTCCAGTTTGTGGCCCGACCTTAAGGCTCGTGCCCGGTACCATCTGTTGAGCTGTGGGCTGCCCTTCAGTTTCCGAACTTTGGGCTGGGGTTCTGGCTCGGAGATATCGGGATTGGCCGCGGTTGCTGTGGCCCGGAGATTGAAGGTGGAACAAGCCAGCATTTTTTTTTTTTTGGTTCAACTCTTTTTTTCTAATTTTATCTATTTGTTGGGAAATTATGAGGTGAAAGGAAAATCCGGCCTAAACAATAGGGATAATCCAAAGTAGAGTTTAGCAGCCCACAAATTAAATTGGACTGAATAACATTTTTCGGGAAATTTTTGGGCATTGGAAAGTTTTGAAAAAGGGCTGGCTTCGCTTTCAAGTCCACTTAGACTTTTAGGCCCATCCATTATTTTGAGGATGAAATTATTCGTGTCCTTATTTTGTCGGATGAAGCACTCGTTGTCGAGTAGGTCTTTGAAAAAAAAAACGTTCTTGCTCTTAATTTTTTCAAGTTTTGCTAATGATCATGTAACTTGACATATAATATCCTATTTTAATCGAGATAGTTTGAGATCTTTGCTCAAGTTTTTTACTACAATAGAGTCGTTTAAAATTTTATTGGAAAACCCGATTATAAAACACATCTTTTCATACGATAAATCCTTCAATCAGGCCTCCAAATGAACCTACCCGCAACCTAAAATGTTTTGTTTCTTAAAAGATCTACCAGCATTTATCAACTTTAAAATTGCTCAATCACCAATTTTAATTGAATTTTATAATTAAACAAAACATACTATAAAATTTTTCTCGGGGCGGCGTGGAGGAGGAATGGGATAGGAAGACCAAACATTTTTATACAAATGACCTAACTACTAACTAGCTAGAAGAGGCAATCAATATTTACTTGGTGAATATATATATATATATATATATATATATTTATACAAGAAACCTGGGGAGCCCTACTTTATAGCCATATTTTTTAACATCGTCCTGGACTTGCTGTCTGTATTCCCTAAAGCTAAACATCCGATAAACCGAAGGCTTGCTGCAACTTTCTATCACAGTCTCAGACGATGGGCAAAGGAAATATGCAGCTGTAAACCTTTCATTTGTTGGATTCGTGACGACACAATGTTGTACACTCTTGTAATAATCATTGCTTCTTGCCTGCTCAATATCAATATATCCAGTCAGTAGCTAATTGACCTTTTGAACCGGTAAACAAGTTGCTATATTAATATTGATTACCTGAAATAAATCTCCAATGTTGATGATTAAGGCTTCAGGATTGGGTTTGACTGCAATCCATTTCCCATCTTTCACTAATTGCAATCCTCCTACCTGATCCTGGTGCAGAATAGTGAGGAAGTCGCTATCCGTGTGTGGCATTAGACCAAATATTTCTAAAGGAAATGGGCAGGGTGGGTATCTGTTCAGTCGTAGATAGCAAGTGCTTGGCAAACAATTTTCCTGGAAAAAATTCGACTTGTGACCTAACTCCTCTGCCAAAATTTCAGCTAACGTCTGAGCAAGACTGGCAAGTTTTGTAGCAAACTGTTCCATTGATGACCTGGTTAACACATTACGAGGGCCAAATGAGTAGTAGTTTGAGAATTATTTCATAGTTTAAAGAAAAGATATTAGAAAAAGAATCCCCCAACTATTAAGAGGTGGGTGCAATGACCCAGTAGGAAGTAGTACAGCAATATAGATCATCAAGAAAAGGGAACCCCGTTTTTGAGGTCACATCAAGCTTTTTAATGCATGCAGATTGGATTGACTGGGTTTCCACCTCATCCAATTAACATGTGACATTCATGTGGGATGTATGCCAGAGAAGAGAGAACGTGCATGTAAGGCAAGGAAGTGATCCCCATTGTACGTTGGATGATTTTATGGTGAGTTTTCAGACCTTTCTTTCTTACAGGGTGCAATGTATCTAACTGTTTATATATTACTAGTGTGACCACAAAGAATTAAAAGCCATTGACTTGTCTAACTAAATCTAAAAGGACAAACCTATTGAGACGTTACAGCTTAATTCCACAAAGAGGATGACACCTCACACATTTTACCATGCAGCTGTGGTTCCTAATGTTTACATGTGATAATATCTCGAAGCTGAGGCCTAGTAACAGTATGAGTTGACAGTTGACACTGAAACAGACACAGAACCACCAATAAGAAAAGACAAATATGTATACATTAAAAGGAAAAAGCAAAATGTCTGAGCCCGGGTTCGAACCGGGGACCTCTAGTGTGTGAGACTAGCGTGATAACCAACTACACCACCCAGACCGGTTGAGATAGGTCCCGATAAAATTTAAATATCATTGACTAGCTTAACTTTTCGTTCAGTGGATATGGATGGATTGGCTGGAAGTAAAGTGGTCCACCGTCATATTCAATAACAATCAACATTTTCCATATTTGGGATACATTTAAGACATTCAATATCAACCTCATATTCTTAAGATATGAAAAGGCAACTTATCAAATCCCATTAGGATGGAAACACAAAAAAAAAGGTGTTGTTAGCTTTAATTTTCAATTAATGTCAAATGGATGTTTAATAGAAGTCATGGATACAGGTGATAAATTTATGATTGTTAGGTTAAAATGGAAAACCTATATTTCTAACTATCTAGATTAATTTTTAAATGTTAATAATATATGAAGAACTTATGAATCATATGATATTTGTAAATCGTATTAATTATTTTTATTTAATTTTTAAAATATTGAAATTATATTATTTTTAAAAATTCAATGGCTAGACTGATCCTTAAGTAAAGATTTTAGAAGATCAATCAAGCTTGACTCGGCCCACAACAGATTTATTAATTTTTTAATATCGCTAATATTTTATTAAAATACTAACTTTAGGTGGGTCTTCTAGCTTTAACAATTTTTAAGCCAAATTATTGTTAAGTAAAAGAATAAAATCCTTGCTTTTAAAGTTTTGTGAGATTTGTAAAGTGGACACTCGATGCTAATACTTTTTAACTTTGAAATTTACTATTCAAGTTTAAATTTTATTTACTCCATTTTGTACCATAAAAACTTTATCTAATAAAGAAACTTGATGCAAGTGTACAATGCACCTAGACAAACATCAAAGATGAAAGTTAACTTGTAATCTTATCTTGTTTCAAACCCAAGTACATCTGTTTACGCTCCCTGACAACTATGATGATCTTCTTAATCAAGCTTTAAGAGTTTTACAAGGAGATCATTTGACTATTGAAACCGAATCATCTAAACTATTTTTTAATATTTAAAATTATCATAATTTACACTCTAATAATTAAAACTAAAAATTTAAAATTTTACCAACAAAACCTGCTACTGATAGGAAATTATTATTATTTTTTTTAACTTATGGCAATTAGCCATTCTTTCTTTTCTAGACATACCAAAATTAAGACGATGGTTTTGACAAAATTTTGATTCTTTCTGCTATAATTAAGAATCTAGGCTTCTAAAGCAATCACAAAAAGTTTAAAAAGACTATGAAAAGACTATGGATTTGAGCCTTGTTGTCTCATCGTTACAATAGTTGGTTTTTCAACAAGAAAACTATAGCTAAGCTTCAATTGCATGCCGACATGCGGTCTCAACAATAAAACAAAAGCCTTAATTAATGTTTTAACTTAAATAAGACATAAACAAGCTTATGTTCTGGTTCTTAGTGTTATGTTATTGCGCTTACAAATTTGCAAAGAAACAAAGTTGAGGAGGAAATAAAGGAAGCTTTCTAAATACCTGAGACTACTATTGATGAAGGCGCAGGAGCTTGAGATATCGTTCATGGGAATGTGGAAAGCTTCTGACCATGACAATTGCCTTAGGGAAGTTGCTGTTGGCGTCCCCCAACGATAACTACCAGGGGAGAAATTCAAGAACTTGTCTTCTCTGCACTTGTTGTGAAAAGGTTGCTTGAAAATTTTCACTTGTTCGTCTCTCATCTTCTCCAATATGTCTCTCGAGATTCCATGGTTTATGACTTGAAAAAAACCCCATTCATGCGCTGCCCTAGCTATCTCTTTCTTGCACTCTTCACTCTCCAGCTCGTCGACCCCTAAACGGCTTAGATCAATCAAGGGAAGCTCGCGTTCCTCGACGACGACAAGGCGGTGGTTGTTTTGAGAGATTTTGGTCCTCGGTTCTTCGTCGTTGGTGGAGTTCACGAAGAGGTTCTTGTATGTCTCGTGGAACGGTGGGTCCGAATCCATGCCTAGCGGCTAATCTCAAAGCAGAGATCGAGAAGAGTGAAAGGTCAAAAATGGCTAATTATAAGCTGTTTGTATGGTAGTGAGAGAGATGGAGACAGAGTAAGGATTGAGACAATACGATTTTCTTTGTTTCTGTTCGATGAAAACGTTATGGAGACAATTCGATTTTCTTTGTCTCCTTTTCTCACGTTTTGGACTTTGGAGACAAGGCTGAATTGCATGTCTTTTTGTATCACTTTGGAGTCATATATATATATATATATATATATATATATAAATATAAATAAATATATATAAATATATATATATATATAAATACTTATATAAAATAGATAAGAATGAGATGATGGATTTCGAATTCTCATTTTATATATATATTTTAAGGTTTTTTAATTGTTAGATCAAAAAACTGAAAACCATCTATCTTTATTGTATCTTTAAACTTTAATTATGTTTGATCATCTTCTACATTCTTCTTCTGATCATCTTCTACATTCTTCTTCTTACACTTTTTTTTTCTCTTTATGATTTTAATTTGCTAATTCACTAATCAATCATATTACAATGAAATCATAGATTTTGAAATCTGATGCAGATGCAAACCTTTTCTACATTATTAATATAATTTTTTTAATTTACTAATCCAATCATTTGGCAAATTATTATCTTTAAATATAATTGAAATCATTAAATTGTATAATTATTACAATATGCATGATTATTTTGATGCTTTTAAATAAAATAATATTTGATTATTAATAATACCAAATTGTAAGAATTAATAACCATTAACTAAGCAAAATATTTCTCAATTACTAGTGATAAAATCATCCTAATACTTCAATAATTATATTGCTTTAGTGATTTTAAAAATAAAACCAAATACTACATAAATTATGACAAAATGAGTTTTAATCTTCTAAATAATTAATAATAGATATCTCCAATGCACAAGTGAAGTTCAAGCAACTTGACCAATTATGTAGGTGATATTTCATTTTTAAATAAATTTGAAGTGATCTTTGGTGGTTTTTAATTAGTACCATATATCAATATGTGAATGGGGGTAATGAATAGAATAGATGGCCATTGCAGTTAATGGGACAGCTACAAGAGACGCATGCAAAATGCATTCATTGAGTGGGACCATTTTGCTAAGCTATGCCTTGATCAGACGCTTGGTTATTTATAAAACAGGACGATCTTGGGCTACTGGCAGCACTAACTCCAACTATACATAAAGATGAAGACAGTTATTAATAATTACAAGGTTGAATGACAATGCAACATTCCCATATTCCCATTGGCCGAGACTCTAGAGTCTAGATTCTTAATTCCCATGTTATTGCAGCAATCATCAAATTGGGTCAGCCCTTTCTTTTTAATTATCAAATTCAAATCTGAAATGTTTTTCAACAAGCTGAAAATTGAAACAAGAATATCGTCTTGGAGTATATATTACTCCATTTCCAGAAAATGAATAAACAACATGGTCTCTACGTGGACGACCATGTCTGGAATGAATGCCATGCATAAACATTTTCTCTTCTTTTACCTGGTTAATATTTGACATGAGATTATGACTCTCCACCATTTTATTCTTCGACACGCAATATTTGTCTGCATGAACATAATTAAAAGAAAAACATCAGAAAGGAAGATTTTCAATTGATTCTTGAGACGTCGCAGACGAAATTAATTGTGAGATAACTACTTGCACGTTACTGCACGTATATGTCTACGTCTAGCAGTAGTTTTCGGTTTCTTATTATCCATCTTACGTATAAATACATATATATACATATATTATTGAAAACAAAAAGGCAAGAGAACGAAATGAAGATTGGGACAAACAAAATCTAGCTAGCTAACCTCAGGAAACAACTATACTTACAAGGAAAAGAATGCTTCAAACTTGATATCAGAAGGGTTTACAGAAGCAAAACACAGGAAAGTTGTACTCAGAAAAAGGAGATGTTACATGTATATATATAGTAGAGCAAGATTGGAGGGGAATCTAAATGCTTTATTTGTGTAGTCGAGGAAGACTGAAGGACAGATATTTCATAGGAAAAGCCCCAGGAACCCATAAATCTTTATAATTATTGATTTTAATTATTAGGTAAAGAAAAGCGGGATTGAGATCCTATGCTTTACAGAAGAACACGCGGCTTCTGTGAGTGTCAGAGAAATGCAACTGTCTTATTTTTCATTTTTTAAAACGTGATTTAGCATAAGTACAGAGAAAAGTGGTTTTCTTCTTCCCATTGCTTTGAAATATTGAGAATGAGAAACAAAGAGATAAGGTAAGGGGGAGACTTGGCAGAACGAGAACCAAATGAAATTTGGATGTAATTTGTGAATGAAAATTGGTCTAGCCACGTTGAAAAGATGCTTGGCTGAATCTACACCACTTTTCGATCCTAATTACTTTTCTTTTTCAGTAAAATCTGAGAAACAAGGCACATGATCGCTTCTGGGTCCAATACTCCAATCATAGTCCATGTCGGTACATTCGTAGCACAATGTAGAGTCACATGCAGTAAAACATTTTCAGGGAAAGATACATCTGCTTGACCTGAGAAAATTGAGAATCAATAGCTTCCATGTGCAGTGCTTAGACACAAAAGGACATCCGGATCCTCAGAGAAGGATTTATGCCCAAATTCCTTCAAGCAATGGGTCTATGCGAAATATCGCTCAAATTTATTACATACTATTATATATCATACGGGATATTTTTAAATTCAATCGACACTCACTTCCCCTGGACAGTCTAAATTTTGTGTTCTTAAGAAGAAACCAAACGATGCAATTAAAGCAACATGGCTTGTTGCCCATGATGATATCATTCACGTTTTTCTGAGTGAACAAATGGGAATTATGAAGGCGCCATTGGCCCCAATATATTGTAACTATTGTTACAATCTACAAACCCACATTCGATTTTCAATTCAGGTGTGTTGAGAATAGATTTGGTCATTTGTTTCATCGTGTCATATTTTGTGTTAAATATGATTTTAAATACAATATAAATAATTTTTATACGAATATGACGTGAATATATGAATGATACGAATAATTTAAATATGAATATAACACATTTATCATACGTCTTATATATGATACCATACAATTAATGCAGTTAAATTAATTTATATTCAACTGACACAATCTGACATGATACAATTAATATAATTATATACAAATAATGCAATTATATATGATTAATTACTCAAATACGACACGATTATCACAATTATATATTAACAATATGATTGAATACGATTAATCTATTTATTTAAACAAAAAATATAATTTAAATTAGTATTTAAACAAAAAATATTTAAAAATTAAAAATTTATAATCTATCTAAACACAAAAAATGATATGATAAAAATGGTTATTAATTTATTTTTTAAATAAATTAAAATAGTTTTAATTTTTTTTATGTTATAAATAATACCTTATCTTAAGCATATTATTACTGTTTAACACGAACACGATAAGAATAATGTCGTGTCTTAGATATGATTAAGACACAGAAACTAAATTATACTAAATTCATACATGATTTTTTTTGTATAGTTTTCGTATCATATTATCATGTAGTATAAAAAATTATCAGGTTTAATCGAGAAGGGATATAAATGTAGATGTTCTAATTATGCATTTCAGGTCTGGTTCTGTAATTGCTGTTTTTACAGTACCCCAAAAGGGGTGGTGGTTGCAGCAGCGTGTGAACAGGCTACGAGTCTTGAAATTTGTTGATCAATTATGATTTATGCCTAACATATATAAGCCAAGTTGCATATATATGGATTATTTTGGCCTCATAGTGCATTATTTGTGGTGCTCATGTGTTGTGACTTAAAATGAGTCACAGGGTGACAGGACTGCTGGAGAGGATAAGGAGGGTGAGACAGTGGCCTTCCTGGATCTTGTTCTGGAATCTTACCTCCAATGGTTTTGCAGGTACTGTGTTGGTGATTACTCCCTTTTTCATACGTCAATACAGCCCTGCTTTTCCCATCAATTGGACATGTATACTTACACCTATATGGTTAAAATTTGCACTTTGAACTTGGATTTAATTACAAAGCGAATTTCTAGAGAATAAGAGCTGTAACGTAGTTTTATGAGCCATGCTATTTAGGGGAAAAAAGGCCTTAGATTTTTTTAATACAAAGGAAATCTAACAAGAAAAAAAATTGTAAATGTGGAGATTTGAACTCCTTACCTATATGATATTATCTTTTAACTGTAATTACGTGAATTAACAAAATTAAACCCTAGATTCAATACTTTAGATTTTTTCAAGGAGGCAATCTTTTTGCGCATAAATTTTGTGCTAGTGCACCATTTGCTAGGCATTTATGTTGCTTCCACTATTAATTTTTCTTGAAGTGCCCATAATTGAAACATACTTTGACATAGTTATAAATTCAACTCTCTAAATATATTTAATAACTTAAAAAATGTTGAACATACTCGTATTGAATATATATCATATATATGATGATCATCTAAATTTGAGTAACATATATATATGTATATAGGATATAAATATATTATGATTTCAACTTTCTAGTTAACTTGAAAGCACAATATCTGGGGATAAGGTCCAGAATTTTACTAGTAATTAAGAAAGAATGTGATTCATCTCCGGTAGGAGCAGCAATTGTAGTTGTAATGGGCCAAAGGTTGAGTTTTCTAAGGGATACTTACCTATACGTCCCAGACCAGGGAGGCAGCCTGAAACATGTACAAATAGCATGAGTAGGCTGCCCTAACCTTTCAAGGACCAAAACATGCAAATATATGCGTTGAATTAAATCATCTGATGGAAAAGAAAAAGGAGGTGATCAGTTTATGCCTCCATTATCGTTAACCCATCCACATGGACGGTCGACGAAAGGAGGTGCAAATTTGGTTTATGATCATTTAGTGATGATGGCACTGTGTCAAAAAAAATTTATGTTAAAAAAAAATTTAAAAGTAAATAAATTGTTCAATCTCTCGTATAAAAATAATATATATCATATTTGATAATTTAATATAAATAATTATATTTGAGATAATTTTAATAAATAATTATTTATAAAATTTAAACTCAAAATTTTTTTATAAAAAAAAATAATTTTAATCGATTAAATTAATCAATTATTAATATTATATTAATTTTTTTTTTTTAAGAGTTTGCTCATTTTAATTAAAAGGAATCGATCAGTCTCCCTCAAGACTTTGATGATCGTGGGGGATGGTGCGGTCGATGCGTGGTGGAATGGGCTTAGCAGGTCATGTCGTTGTTGGGAGCCCCCATTGCCCCCCACCCTTTTCTTTTCTTTTCCTTTTCCTATTGATTGACAAAATCTTGTACTGTGATCAATTAGACGCCCACTCAATCATTAAGAGTCCCCCGAGATTCGACCTTTTCAATTTTAATATATAAAGTCATGATTTTGACACGTGGCGAATTAGCAAACACGGGTTAGCCTTACCCCCTCCCATGCCGACCTGCTCAGGTCATGTGCATTGCTGTGGTTTTCCTCCTTTCTTTTCTAGAACCAGTATTGCAATTTTATTTTTGTCTGAGTTATGACTTGAAATTTTCTTTTTGTTGATTCTTCAAATGAAATTACAAATTAAATTAAAAATCATAGTTATAATAACTATTATTATATTAAATTATAAAAAATTAACATAAAATTAAATTAAATTTACACATAATAAAATTTAAATCTGAAATTCCATTAGTTTCTTTTTTTTTTTTGTTGTTGAACTTAATCTGGTTATAATTTAGGTTATAGTAAATCTTATAATTTGTGACCGTTAGAATGGTAGGAAAAGGTTCACATCCACCTGATAGACAAACATTTGAATAGATCTCAAGCATTGAAGTCTACTTTTAGCATTAAAAAAATGCATAGTGTCACATCAAATGAAAGATATTTATTCACGATTTCAAAATCAAATCATTTGATAGTTAAGTTGAAGTGACAATATCATATCTGCATATATATATTCATATATACAGGGGAGCAAAACTCAAAAATTAATCGTACTACTAAATAGTATTAATTGTAGGTAATTTATACGAGGATAAAATTTATATAAAATTTTATAATTTAAGTTTTTGAAAGTTTTTATTAGAAATAAATAAATAAATATTTTAATATGAAAATTAATAATATGTAAAAAAAAATTATTTAAAATTTAAATTTAAATAATATTTATTTAACAAAAAAATTATATCAATATTTTTATTAAAAATATTTATTTAATAAATATATCAAATTTTATAATAATTTTTAAAATTTTACATGCTTAACTAATGTGATGAAATTTTTTAATCTATTAGTTTTAATTTTTGATTTTAAATTTTATTTACTTATTTTTAATAAAAAATTTCATAAATTTTATCTATAAAAATTCATATAAATCTTTCTGTTTTAGGAAAGAATTTGTCCAAATGCAATCTGAATATAAATGAATGGATATGAGATTTCATTTTATGGGGCAAAACAAACAAAAAGGAGATGAAAATATCTGCAGACAAGTCGACAATTATTGTCATTGATAAAACATGTAGAAAAGTTTTAAATTAAAAAAAAAAGAAGAAAGAAGAACAACAACAGCAGCTAATCGTTAATTCCATGCTTGTAATACTGGAATTGTAGCATATGTCATATGCAAATAAGCAGTACTTCAATCCTCATCCAGAAAGACACTGCTAGCTTAGCCTACCAAGCGTAATACTTCATCTTGATCATTAACTTTTATTTTGGAACAAAAGAAATGTGTGGCTACCATGCATTCAGATGATGTGTCAGCCACTTTGTTTTTCATCCCCTGCTTCAACATATTTTGCCTGCATGTACATATACTGTAGCAATTAGAATCAAGTAATAGACTGAAGCCTTGTTCCATTTTTTTAACACCATTTTGTTTTTATATCGAGATGTTATAATGGGCAGGAATGAAGCGGATAGAATAATTTTTTTTTAATTTTTAAAATTTAAAATTATATATATTTATATATTTATATTTAATAAATATTTTAAATTTATTTTTTATATTTTTATGAATATTTAATGTATATGAATAGTTTTTATATCCATAATTTTTTTAAAAAATAAAAAATTAATTTAAAATTTTTTTATGTTGTATATTTAAATAAGTTTTTTAACAAATATATATTTTTTAATAAAAAATATATTAATTTTAATTAATTTAAAATAATAATTTATATCATTTAATAAAAAAATTGTATTTATTAAATATATATAAATATATATGTAAAATATGAATATAAAACTAATATTATATTATTTATTTTCATCTCTATACTTATAAAAATTTAAAATCATATCAAATTCTCATCGTCACTTTTATATTTATAATACTTATAATATAATATATATTTATATACTTATTTTTATTTTAAAAAATTAAATAAAAAAAAATGGACATTCATATTTTTACGGTTATTAGTACGAAGAATAAATGAATTGGATTGCGATGAGTATCCAAACATTTGATTCACTCGATGAATAATTCTGTGCTCACATGACAAGATTCGAATCGTTCTTTCGCCAAATTAAAAATGAAAAAAGGGCTAGGATATGCGGAGTTGCGTCTGAGGTGACCCAAAAATTTAGGCCCATATAACCCAATTTTGTTTCCAGCTTAGGGCTTAAAGCCCATATGGGGATCCAGTAACTGAATAGAAGCCCATAACCAGTAAATTCGTTACTTTAAACGGTCAGACGAGGGGTACTTCTCTAATTGCATCAAAGAAGTCTGTTTTCAGACTATAACTGCAAGAAAGGAAGACATTTTGAAGGAAATCAGCAAGAAAAAAAAAAAAAAAATAGAAACACGATGCAAACGATGGCACCATCGGGGGCGATTCGGTGGTGCGCAGTCACATCGGCACTCGTTCTATCTCTATTCATCCAACCGTCGATCGCCATTTACTGCGACGAAGACAATTGTTATGATCTCCTAGGGTTGGATCCCTCACTTTCACCTCTCTTCCGTCCCGAATTTATCTCTCTCGTGTCACTTTTTTTTAGCTTCCACTAATTTTAACTTTACCTTGATTTTTTCTAGGGTTTCTCAAAATGCTAATGCGTCGGAGATCAAGAAAGCTTACTACAAGCTCTCTTTGAAATAGTAAGTTTTTGTTTTTAACTTCTTCAGTCTTTTTTTTTATTTAATTGTTATCTTAAAGTTGATTTTTTTTTCTGTTTAGTCATCCGGATAAGAATCCAGATCCGGAATCGAGAAAGCTATTTGTGAAAATTGCCAATGCTTATGAGGTAACTATAATCATTTCTCTTTCTATTGAGTTTGAGATTTGCTGATTTGTTTTTCCCAGTATTACTGTGAAACCTAGTGACTTTTTGTTACCCCCTAAATATGAATAAAAGGTATTTTTTTCTTTTGTTGCAGATTTTGAAAGATGAAGCCACGAGGGAGCAATATGATTATGCAATTGTGCATCCGGAGGAGGTGAATTTTAAGTTTTTGTTCAAGACACTTTCTTATTTTCTAAATGTATTAAGAGTTGTAATATGTAAAATGTGATTTCATGTGGCTTTGTCACTCTTGTTATTATCATGGATCATTTGATTTCACCTCAGTTGACCTTGTTTATTACTCTGTAAAATTACTGATAATCATCAAATTTCTGTTCCATTTAGGTATTTTACAATACAGCTCGCTACTATCGTGCATATTACGGTCACAAAACGGTGAGAATTATTTCAGTATTTATGTGGTTATTAAGTATTCTTTCTGGTTCAGCATAGGGGTTCTGGATTTACTTGTTTCTTACCATTTCATATCCATGCTTTCTAGGATCCTCGTGCTGTCTTGGTTGGTGTTCTTCTTATTCTTTCAGCATTCCAATATCTAAATCGGTGGACAAGGTATAATCAGGTGAGTTACCATCAAGTACTGTGTAAATGTTGTTATTTTTGAATGTCCATGTCCCTTGCTGGACGTGCTGAATATTGGTAGATATTATCACTTAGAAGACTTAACTTTTGCAATGTGACTTCTTAGAATATTACAATAGCACTTGTCATGACTTCAAAATATATACTAACCACTCAAGCTTAGCTTACTGCTTGTAACCCCTCCAATGGAAAGTCAACTTCAAAGATTCAACTCTACTCTCCTCTTCTCAGCATTGTCCAAATGCACAAAAATGAAAAAGTTCAATCAGCATACTGCCAGTTATGATAATAAAACAGCATCATAAGAGAATTTTGCAGCATAACTTATATAAGATGTGTTACTTATTTGACACATAAAAATGCTTAAGTTTCCCTTTATTTTACTCTCTTTTTTTTCTCCTTTCCTTTTTCTGGATTCAGGCTGTAGATATGGTCAAGAAAACACCTGCTTACAAAAACAGATTGCGGGCGTTGGAACTTGAACACAATGGAGGAACCACAAATAAGAAGAAGAGTAACAGGCAAATGGACAAGTATACTGCTATGACTTGTTTGATTTTTTACCCATAAAATTAGACTCCAATGTTGTGGTTTTGTTCGCATTAACCACACATAGAGCATGGTGCACATGCCATCCTTTAATCCCCTTTGTGCATGTTTTCTTTTTAACTAAAAAACAATGTGACCCATATTTTATGGCAGGAAAAAGGAGGAAGATCTCAGCAAAGAGCTTGAGCTGGACATTAAGGGAGCTGAAAAGCCCTCCATCTGGGAATTAGTTGGTGTCCGTTTTATTCTCCTCCCCTACACTATTGGCAAGGTTAGAATACCAGCTATTAAGCTAAGAATAACTGCGATTTCAGGATAAGATGAGTGAATACCAAATATGTTGGATATAGCTGAGTCTTTGATTCTTCTGTTGTTGCATTGACAAAAAATGTTTGACTTAGATTTCAACCTTAGTTTTCAGACTGGAATTGCTTCCTGATTAAATTTCTGTCTCTCCAGCTATTGTTGTGGCATGGCTGTTGGTTCTGGAGGTACAACGTGAAACAAGCTCCATATTCTTGGGAAGATGCGGCTTACTTGACTAGAAACTCCCTCAGAGTGCCCCTTGATGCATGGCTAAACATTGGTAACTATGATTAAGTTCCTCAATTTTGTATAAATGCAAATACACTTTTTTAGGGATTTAACTTTAGATTTGATGGCGGCCAAGAAAAAAAAAACTTGAGGTTTGATAGATGATATAATCATAGAATGGCTTATCGAGGTAGTCATATGTGCTGACCAACATTGTAATTTCTAAGTTTTTATTGTTATACTACCTTGTTAGATGAAATACTTCATATCATCTAAGATTTGCTTATTACTGACAACTCTATGGCTGCAACATCATCTTGTAGTACCTTTCCATCAGCGGCATGGCATGGATCGTTCCTTGTAAGGCTTGAGTCAAGGCTTCTGGGAGCTACCGCATATGCTTCTCATATGCTGGTATTATCCATTTGTCTTCAGTTAGTATTTTAATTAAATCTTGTTTGTGTTTGCTAGATGAATCAACCAAGGAGGATCTTATTCAGAGACGATTATGGATTAAATCCAACTTAGAGAGCTACCTAGCAGAAATGCGAAAAGAATACAAGCGCAGAAGATAGGAAGAGTTTTTTTTTTTTTTTTTGGTCTGGAAGGTAGGAAGATTTATTGCTTGGTTACTAAAGATTATTTGCTGAAACTTAAAAAACATACAAGAAAATAACCATGTTTCACTAGTATAGATTATTTTGGTTACATTTATAAATGAAGGCAGAGAAGACCATTGTTGCTGATTACCAAGTTTTGATACGGAACATCCAAATCTAATACCTGTAGCAGAGAACTGAACGTATCATTTTGTATCTTTCCATATATAAACTCTAGTTTTAGATGACTTTTTTTTGTTGTCATACAGTCATAATCCAGTTATTGCTGGTCAGCGATATTCATATATGGATCATGCAACTCGTATCACTGATGGTAATTTTATTCTCTTATCATTCTTGGCGAACCTGCTGGGATATCAGTTGCTTCGCACATTCCTACTTCACAGTAATTGTGATTCTTGAAGTGACTGCATTTGTTGATTGTGATTCTTAGCGGAATGCAACTGGACAGGGAATAAATCAGCTTGCCGAATTACGCATGTAACGATGCAAGTTAGACGTTAAAAGTGTTTAACCAATTGGACCGCACCTAGCTTTGGTTTAGCTTGGATTAATGTTCGAAAAGAAAGGAATAGACGATGAGCCGAAGGGGCTTGATTTGATCCACGAAATTAAAAAATTTGAAGCACGAAGCGGTGCAATGCCTCGTGTCACACCCCGAGCGCATACCCGTACGCACGATTTGTTAGGCTTAAATCCCCGGTCTAAGCCCATGACAGTTGGACTCTATAGTAGTACTTCTAATCTTCGTAATGTTGATAAAACGCAGCGTCGTATCGCATCCCATCAGATCTTCTCCCACCAGAGCGAAAACTGGCGACGCCCATCAGTGCGCAAATTCTAAAACTAAAGCTTTTATTCTCTCCTTTACTTTACGAATCCCGATTTTACATTTCCATCTCCATCACTCCGGTCCCTTCTTTCCAATTTCATGCACCATACGCCACTTCCTCACCCATGCCTCGCTCTCAGGTTGGTACTCTTTAAAAAATTTTCTTTCTTTTTTTATTTAAATTTCATCGCTTATGGTCCATTTTATTTGTTGACAGATTGGATGCTTGGTTCATGTAAATAAGAATGTTGAAGAAGCCACTTCACTCCCCAAGATCTCACTCTTTTATGGCCCCAATTTTATCGGCCGCAATGATGTTTCTATTCCCGATAAGAGACTCAGCCGCAAACAGATTGCTTTAACTACCTCCCCTGACGGCTCCGCAGATTTACTCGTCGTAAATTCCATTATTTTATTAGTAATTTCTTTTTTTTTTTTCCTTTCTCTCTCTTTTGTAGATCGATTGTTTAGTGGTGGAATTTTATAGGAGGGGACAAATCCAGTGGTTGTTAGGGGGATGTTATTCTTGCAGTCCTCTCAAATTACATGGTAGATGTTGATTGGTTAATGTCAGGTGAATTCTCATAACTTGTATGATTTCATCTGTTATTTAGTTCCTCAAGTAACATGGTGCAAGGACTTTTGATTATGTTGTCTGCTATTCTTTTATGTGCATATCATTTTGGTGTAGCTCTTGTTGTTTGATTACGAAACCTGTTTTTTTTCTTTTTTTTATACTGCTTTGATGCATCTAAAACCGTTATTTCTACCTCTTGCCTTATGTAGCATGTCTGAAACTTGCAAAAATTCCCCATGTATTTGTTATTCATGGGGAGGGTGACAGCAGGCTGGATCATATGAAGGTCAGCTACAGATGTACATATTCCCTTTTTTCTATGGAAGCTCTACTTATAGCTTGTGGATTTTCACATTATCTACTGCTGCTCATACAGAGAACAAGCCTTCCAATTGGATTCTGCACAAGCCACCTTTACCCATTTCATTTGGGACACATCATTCGAAGGCGATGCTCCTTGTCTATCCTCAAGGAGTGAGGGTTACTGTTCATACAGCAAACTTGATATATGTTGACTGGAATAATAAAAGTCAAGGTTTATGGATGCAAGATTTCCCTTGGAAAGATCAGAATAACTCAAAGAAAGGATGTGGATTAGAAAATGACTTGTTTGACTATCTCAGCACATTGAAGGTACCAAAATTTAGTACGTTCTGCGGATCTGCTCTTAAATTGCATGTGAAAAACACTTGCATCTTTCATGACCTGTTCAGAGAATTTAAAACTTTCTCCCTTTCATAAAAGTTTTATGTGATTTGAACTGAACCTTAGATATTATAAGGGACAACAGCCAATCATTCTTTTCATATGTTTGGTTTACTAATCAAGCTTACTAATAACTGTTTCATATGCCTTTGATTTCTGAAATTTTTACCGTGGCCTGAGTTCACTGCTAATTTACCAGCTTTGGGAAGCTTCAACATCAATTCCTCCTTCTTCAAGAAGTTTGATTATAGCAATGCAAGGGTATAATTTTAGTTGTTTGGTTAATATTTTGAAGTGTTATTTCATATTTACCTGGAGGAATAATGTTACAGATGGAACCCATTTTGTTTCTAGCTCATACTTATGTGGGAGCATATAAATATTTGATAATTTTCAGATCCAACTAATTGCATCTGTCCCTGGATATCATACAGGTTCCAATCTGAAAAATTAGGGACATATGAAGCTGCGTACTGTTCTTCATGAGTGTGTTTTCAATAGTTTCAGAGATCGCCTCTAGTTTATCAGGTATTGTTGGACATCTAGTCATGAATAATCATGCTGTGATTTAGGGTGAATATTAGTCACTCAGTTCTCTGAGGGATTTGGTGACAGATTTAAATGAAATTTCGATTAATTATTGGACTTTATTTTCTATGATATGTCCCCTCATGTGAGGTTCTGCACTTGGTCATACCATTCATATCTTCTGTACCAATCTTTCTGTATAGATTAAGAGAAGTGGTTGTATAGATTTTGCTTTCACTGATGGAACTTTTTCATGTTTGACCTACTGTAGTTCTCCTCCCTTGGTTTATTGGACGAGATATGGATGGTCGAGCTAGCATCCTCAATGTCATCAGGTTACTCAGAAGATAAAACCCCGCTTGGTTTGGGGGGGCCATCAATAATATGGCCCAGTGTGGAAGATGTCAGATGCTCCTTAGAGGTATTATCAAGTAGGTTTTTCCTGTTAGCCTCTTATCCTTACCATCATTAACATATTGCATAGTCATCCTCTGACTACTGTCGGTTATGAACTTATTTTTGCATCCCATCTATTGCCTAATGGCTCTTTAAATGCATATAATCAGTTCGGTGTAAAACCAATTCACTCCAAAAAACCTTTTGTCCTCTCCAACTTGATTTTGGTGGCTTGGTGCTCTATAATTTTAAGAGATTAGCGACTACTGTTAATGCCATCCCAAATGATAAACTGCATGTTTCTCAGTGTTAGCATTATCTTTTAGGCCTTAAACTAACTTGTTAGTGGTACGAGTAGATATTGAATTAAAACAGTATTTTTTATCAAGTAAAGTTCGTTTTATATATGTTATTCTACCTTGTTCTATAGGGTTATGCAGCTGGAAATGCGATTCCAAGTCCACTTAAGAATGTGGAAAAAGGATTCTTGAAAAAGTATTGGGCAAAGTGGAAGGCAAGCCATACTGGTCGCTGGTATATCTCTTTAATACCTGGTGAAAGTTTGAGCTACAAAATATCAATTAGCAATGTGTGGGTCTTAAGATTTTGTTTTTGGTGTTTCAGTCGTGCAAGGCCACATATCAAGACATACACCCACTACAAGAGACAAAAACTGGCGTAAGAATTCATTTGAGCCTATATATCATGCTTTTGGAAGCTTTTAATTTTGAACATTTGGATTTTCTCCACTACACCTTCCCCCCCCCCCCCCCCAATCAAGAAAAAGAGGGTGGGGTTCCCTTCTCTCATGCTGGTTTCTGAAACTTTCTTCCCTGGATGCAGTTGGTTCTTGTTAACTTCAGCAAATCTTAGCAAAGCTGCGTGGGGAGCTCTTCAGAAGAACAATTCTCAGTTGATGATCCGTTCTTTTGAGGTATATACATCTGACTTCATGTCTGAAAGCTCAGCTAAGATTTATATGTCATTGAGTAGATAATGAAACCAAAACCAATGGAAAGCACTGCATGTCCCAAGCTTTCAAGAATGTAGATATTCAACAAATGAATGCCTACATTTGTTTTTAGTTTTTTACTTTTTGTATGATCTTCTCATTGTTTGATCCTCCCTGTCTTTTGTGCTAACTAAGCATTGATGGTATGTTTTTATGCCTTTCTATAAATACTTTCTAGCTGGGTGTGCTGTTTTTACCCTCTTATGTCAAAGAAGAGAGTGGCGAGTTTTCTTGTACGGGTGATGGAGGTTCATCAAATGTAATGGCTACTTCTGATTCAATAGCATTTATCTAATGTTGGCTGAATTAGCTGGGAAAATAATGTGATGATGAAAAAGTCGTAGCCGTTGTGTGAATCAGGCTATTTCTAATAGGAAATTCTGAAGTAACAAAAACGAAGTTAGTTACTCTTGCTTGGGAAGGAAGCAAGACATCTAAAGTGATTCCGTTGCCTGTGCCATATGAACTTCCTACTGAGCCATACTCCTCTGAAGGTCATGAAGCTTTAGTCTATCTTGCGCCTTCAATTTATATAAACTGAATTTCACGATTCATCTAACTTTTTTCTATCTTATTTGCGGATGTCCCATGGTGTTGGGACCGGAGATACAATAAAAAGGATGTTTACGGTCAAGTTTGGCCTCGGCAAGGTCAATTGTAGTGTTTTTAGAGTGAACTTGGTTGCGGCATTTGGAAAAGTGATTTCATTTCAAATAAGATTTTTAAAAATTTAAAAATGAATTTACTTGTTTGGGTAAAAATAAGAGATAAATTTTAAATTTAGATGAAATTTTAATAGAGAATTTGAGGTACTAAAATTTTCTTTTGAAAGGTTATCAGAAAATTTAAAAAAAAAAGAAATTGAAGGTGATATGATTTAAAATTTTAATAAAAGTCATATTAGTATAATAAAATTAAAAATATATTTTTTGTATTGATACAAATTATAATATATAGTACTTGAATAAAATATGAAACAAGCATACGAATTATTAAGATATTATATAATATAAAGAGAAAAATTTTTAGGTCTACTAAGAAGTTTTTAAAAAATCTTCTTAATCTTTCGACTTTTGTTGCACATGACTCGGTACAAAACTCAAAAAGACAAAATATCATTTTATTTGACTTTAATATATATATTTATTTGTTTATATTATTAATAATATTTATATATTTATACAATTCTAATGATATTTATATTGTATATTTTATTTATACATATATTTTTTATTTTTAATAGTATTATTTTTTTTATAATTAATTTTTTATCTCATCAAATTTCAATGGTTAAATTATTTTTCAAAAAATATATATCCAAACAAAATAACAACAAATTTAAGCATTTTTAAATGATGTATTTTAAAATGTTTTTGTTTTAAATTTCTGTAAAACTTCAAAATTTTTTACACCAACAAATACTTCAAAGAATCTTGATTTTTTTATGTTGCATTTTGCATATGGTAAATCCTAAAATCCTAAAATTTACAAGATTTTGATATGATATTATTATTACGAATTAATACTCAAGTTAAATGAGGATATATTAATAAGACATGGTATCAACATTAATTGAAATTATTCTTAGTAATTCAGTCTTCAAAAAATTTATGATTATTTTTTAAAATAAATAAAAATTATGATTATTACGATACCATGACCATATCAAAGTTTCGTGATTGTTTCTCTAGAAACAAGGCCATGTATAATATAATGTTATAGTCCCTAGATTTTACAAACAAGATTCTTTATTATTGAACGACATCATCCATTTTGCTAACCATATGCTTTAAGCAAAGAACAAAAAAAGTGGTGACAATAACCTCAATCTCTCTAATCAAAGTAATCAAGGAGTCATAATAATAATCAAAGATTTAGTAGAAAAATCCGCCAATAGTGATTACAATCAGCTTGGACTTTAAAAAGAAAATCCGATTCTTTTTTAAGAGCGTATCACATTTTTAAATCTTTCAATATCTAGAGAAACAAATGACTAGTCACCATCTAAATCGGCCTCACAGTTAGAATATATCGGATATGGCTGTTGATAGCAACAAATTATTTTCATAAATCAACCTCCTCCAAATACACTCTCTCACAAAAACAAAGGAAAAAAAAAAAAAAAAAAACCATCGATCCCCAACCTTAATTTCACCTTCAAGTCTTCCATCTTTTCAAATGGATGTCATCTTTGAAACCCAGAAAGACAGGCCTTTTTCCATTGAAGTTGGTTTCTTTGATACTGTCCTGGAAATCAAAGAAAAGGTACAGAAATACCAGGGAATACCTATACCTAGCCAAACTCTTGTCTTCAATGGCCAAGTTCTCCAAGATGAGCGAGATGTTAAGTTTTGTGAAATCCTCCAAAACTCCCGCATTCAAATCCTCGTAGCCCCCGAACCCGATAAACCTCAAGCTAATATTGAACAATCTTCCCCATCCAAGAAAATCCAACTCAACATCAATATACCATCCTCCTCCAAAGCCTCCGTTCCTCTTGAAATGGATGTGAACGACACTGTTTTAAGATTAAAAGAAAAGATTCATGAGATGGAACCTGTTCCTGTCAACAGGTTAGTAGTTCAATCGAGCGGCTCAGAGTTACAAGACCATCGATCATTACGCGACTATGAGCTAATGGATAATAGTGAGATTGATGTAAATATTAAGCCATCGCCAACAGGTTCTGGGACAGGATCAGCAGGGGCGGCAACAACGGGTTCCAAAAGGCTGAAGCTGATGGTGTTGACCACGTGTGGGACGAAGAAGATACCGGTTGAAGTGAATGCATCAGATAATGTGGGAGAGCTGAGAAAAGAACTGCAGAAGTTGCACCAAAGGCTTCAATTTCATCTCCCGCAAGAAGGTTATTTTTTCATATATAAACAGAATGTGATGGACGATGATCGATCGTTTAGGTGGCACCAAGTTGCCCAAGGTGAGACAATTGAGATCTTTAATGGAAGTGTTACTGGAGGATCATGAAACTTTTTCATGTTTTCTTTGTTAATTAGTCCTAGAATTTTCAATGCTATTTTAACCTAGCTATAACATCTGCGGTACTTATTAAGGCCTTTTTAATTCTCTTTGTTGAAATTTTGTAGCACTATGGGCCTAAGGCAAGATGTTATCCGTAATTTTATCCCTCCTTCCTTATATTTATTTTAAATCTTAATGTTATGTTAGGTGTACAAGATAATAGATAAAATAGTATAATAATTATTTTATATTATATTTGATTTATATTTAATTAAAAAATATGATTATAAGAAAGATTATATCCTTTTTGGTATAAGATAATTTCATCCTTTTAAAGTGAAGAGGACTATTTTTAATTTATAGAATTAAACATAGATGTTTTATTATATATTTAAAAATTACATTAATAATTTAATTTTTATAAACCTTAAAAAAAATAATTTTAACTAATAAATAAATTATGTATCTTAATCTTTGCACGCATCAAACATAAGATAACATAACATTATTTAATTTAATCATATTAATAATATTATTTTATTCTATCTTATCATAATTTTGTATGTCAAACATGACTTAAATTGATAATAGAGACCGGAAATGATAAAATTTTCATCAAAACAGATATTTGCCAATGAATAAAAAGCACAATTATCACTAAAGTAGCATTGACATAATTAGTAATTACAAAATTTTCTCATATTTTAAAAATTAAAAAATCACTCTCTAATTTTTGAGCAACCAAAAAGTGCGTAAAAGAATTGATACCACTGGCATGGGCAAGCAGTTTATAACATGAAATGAGAAATGTGAAATAATATATTTTGCTCCTTTTCATCCACTGCCAAATCTTTATTTTATTTCTAATGTGGACTTCAAACTTGTTTGCCCAAACCGGAAAAGGGACTGATTGAGATTCGTTTGGCTAAAACCACATAAATCGGATGTGGGTCGGGGTTTGGAAAACAGCCTGTAATTTAGGTCCAAATGGAGATGTGTACCTCAAATCTAGTTTAAAACCCAATCCATTAGCAAACATGGGCATCAAGTAAAATCAAGAGCCCAAAATTTGACCATTAGCCCATAAAACTTTGTTCTTTATTTAACATTTTTATAGTTTTTTTTTTTTTCTCTTATCAGTTATTGTAACTAAATCAGAGGTCAAGGGACAGTAGAAAGCAAACAAAATTTCTTTGGATTTTGCTCTTACTGCACTTGTCAAGGCTAATTAAACTATTATTTATAGTAATATTTTGTAATAGTTGATGATTAAAAGAAAGAGGGTTTTGGAAACGGAAACTCTTTAAAATTATCGTATTGGGTAAAAATTTGATATATTAAACATTACTTAAAAATTTCTTTTTGGGACGGTTCAATGAATATGAGACGCAGTAAGAGCCTCACGTTTAAAAATTGATCCTTAAATTTGTTGGAAACAACTTTGCTCCACCGACTCACATTATTATAATCCTGAAATACCGCCCAAGTTGCAAATAAAAATAAAATCCCTGTGGGCCCAACGACAATGACTACCCCAGGCCCATTTAATTCCAACGGGACGGATTCCGTCAATAACGACGCTCCACCCTCCCTGTCCGTCCGTCATTCGTCCCATCAACCAAAGACGGTCAACTAACACCGTTAAACAAAAAGACTAACGGCAGTGAGCCCCACCGCTTTACCCTATCATTCTAGAATTCCTAATTCCTCTGCCCACTGAATAAACAATCGTTACCGTGTCAATTACGGCAAAAGCCACCTCAGTCTTACGCGTTAAAATTTCATTGGCTCGTCACTGCAGGAGTTTTCCTATAAATTAATCCCTCCAAACGCTTTCTTTTCGCATCCCAAGCGATTTGATTTATTTGGTTTTATTCTCATCGATTTTCTCTTCAGGCGATCAAGATGCAGATCTTCGTCAAAACACTCACCGGTAAGACGATCACCCTCGAAGTGGAGAGTTCCGACACGATCGATAACGTGAAGGCGAAAATTCAAGACAAGGAAGGAATACCACCAGACCAGCAGCGTCTCATCTTCGCCGGAAAACAGCTCGAAGACGGCCGAACCTTGGCCGATTACAACATTCAAAAGGAGTCAACTCTCCACCTCGTCCTCCGTCTACGTGGCGGTATGCAAATCTTCGTCAAAACCCTAACTGGGAAAACAATAACCTTGGAAGTCGAAAGCTCTGACACAATCGACAACGTCAAGGCGAAGATCCAAGACAAAGAAGGAATTCCACCAGACCAGCAGAGGCTTATCTTTGCTGGGAAACAACTTGAGGATGGTCGAACTTTGGCTGATTATAACATCCAAAAAGAGTCGACCCTTCATCTGGTTTTGAGGCTTCGTGGTGGGATGCAGATTTTCGTCAAGACTTTGACCGGAAAGACGATTACTTTGGAGGTGGAGAGTTCGGATACCATAGATAATGTGAAGGCGAAGATTCAGGATAAGGAAGGGATTCCACCTGATCAGCAAAGGTTGATTTTTGCTGGGAAACAATTGGAAGACGGAAGGACTTTGGCTGATTACAATATTCAGAAGGAGTCCACTCTTCACCTGGTCTTGCGTCTGCGTGGTGGTTTTTAAAACTCTCCATGAGACTAGGTTTCTGGTTATATGTGAAGGATTGTGATGTCTGGCCCTGTTGAGGCCTTTCAAATAATTATTATTAGTCTATCTCTGTCTTTACTTTTATGTCATGGAATAAAATTTGCACTTTTACCGCTATTCTGTTGTCTTTGATTAATCTCAATTTTCCTTCTCAATTTGGATGTTTGTTCTTTTCCAAAAGAAGTTTGAGAGACATCTTTTCCATCTGAAATTTGAAGATTTTGAGAGAATCCTAGGAATTTCTATTAGTTTCTGATAGAATCGAAGATCAAATGGATAGACCATATGTTTGTTTATCTGTTCCTGCTCTGTTTCTCTTTTTCTTCAACATCCAACTACTGGACCCGTTCCAAAATCCAAACATCCCTTTCGTCTTCAACCTAAAATTTAGTTTGGCTGGTGGTGGGTTCTTGCTGATCAAACACCAGGAGAAGAATAAGAACCGAATTTCAAGTTGAGTTATATCAAAAAATGGTTCAAAGAAGAGTTTTTTTTTTTTTTTTTTTTTTCTAGTATTTGGACTCACTAGCCCCATGATGTATCTTGATTTCATTGTACTGCTATCCTATCTCCAATTCAGGAATTCAATATTCTCAAGGGATAATCTTAGCACTGCGTACCAGAGGAATCTTAATAGTTTGACATTGCCACATGCACACATCAGCTATTCAATCGTTTTTTTATACTTCATTTCATCCCTTATAAAATATTAAATGCTTTTTGCATTTTTCTCACCTCTTTTGATGGGTGGAGTGATTCTTCCTTCTCGGGTTGCTTTCTTCCTACTGTCCAAAATTGAATCACCAAATTTTAGCTACACGTAACTTCAGAGCTGGATATTGAGAATCCCAATCTGTATTAGGTAATAGGTCTGCATCTGGTCAAGAGAAATTATCTCGAAAATGTGACAGTGGTGGCTAAACCTTTATTAATGTTGCCTTCTAGATCTAAAAGCCAACTTCTCTCAATTTTATCCTAATCTTTCTCTTTTCAGGTACTTCTCTCTGAGATTTTTTGTGGTGTTCATGATTTGGCTCGGTTTGTTTTTCTTTGTCAATCTGTAACTATGATGATATGCTTATGGCTTAAGATTAGCTTTAATTCTTTATTGCTGTGGACTATTTTCTTTGGCATAAACTTGATAATTTTAAATGTTAATGAATAGAAACTGCATTCATTATGGCTGAAACTCTTCCTTTTATGGACTTGATAAAGCAGCCTAGTGATTTTTAGGAAAATTGTTTGTTTAATAGATTGAATTGAAGAGTGATTGAGACCCCGGAGACAGGGCAATAAATTACTTTGGAGATGAACACGGGTGCCCTGTCATGTCAATTCCCCGTAGCACTGCAATAAGCTTGCTGTTTGGTGTTGATAGTTTTCCAGCACAAGTATTTTAAGATTCACATAGTTTGCCCTTAATAATGTTTGTGATGATACTTCCATCCATGGTTCCTTGCAAAAAACACCAGGTGATGATAAGATTTACTGGTTTGTTCTCCTCAACTAATTATGCTTGCCAAACAAGAATACATTTGGACAAGGGCAAGGATTTATGCATTCTTTAACCAATAACATGATATTTGTCTTGGCTTATTTGGAAGCTAGCCTGCCTTCGTTTCCATTCATCGGTATTTAGTCAGGTATGCGTTGCATTCCTTGACAAAATTTTATCTTTAATTTTCTTTGTCTTTACTTCCAGCATTGTGAATATTCACCGGTACCTACCAAATAGGTTTGGGTGTGTAAACCCTTGTATTTGAAACTAAAAAGTTATGACAAAAATTTGTGTTCTCAAATACAAATAGGAAAATTGGGGGTTGTGGGTTTTGAAGAACAAAAACTTTGGTAAAACTGAGGTCTGGAGGGAAATGAAGATCAGATAGACTAAGGAAAATATGAGACATCTAGAAGTTTTAGGATAAATGAAGGAAAGAAATCAAACCTTTTGTGATTGGAATGAAGAGAAGGGTCATGATTTACTTTCTTGCATTGAATCCCTGTTATAATTGAAGAGCTTATTTTCTTTGTTGCAGCTGTCAACATATCTGAAAGCAAATAGAGCTGTTGTTAGTTCCCTGCAATATCTAACGACCAAGATTTCATATCTGAGCTCGAAATCCAAATTCCTAACACTTTTGGTACTTTTGCTTCTTTCTTAAATTAAAAGTAATCTTGCTCTATACCGGTCAATACACTGATATTCTACCTACAAAAGCAGCTTGAGTTCCTTTTGATGTATAATTTTTTCAATACATGCTTGTGTTGATTTCCTTAACAAGCAAATAGATCAGGATGATGTTTACTGTTATATCCTGTGATTTTTGGGCAGATCCATTCACGGATGCAAATTCTGAGAACTCAGGTGCAGGGGCAAAGGAATATGTGCATGTGCGCGTACAGCAACGTAATGGTAGGAAGAGCCTTACGACTATTCAGGGGTTGAAAAAGGAGTTTAGCTACAGCAAAATAATAAAGGACCTCAAGAAGGAATTTTGTTGTAATGGTACAGTTGTCCAGGTTCCAGAATTGGGCCAGGTGTGCATGTGCAATAGTAAATTCTAATCACATACAACTCATGTTGGGTCTCAAACCATTTACTATTCTGTGGTCACAGGTTATTCAACTTCAAGGCGATCAGAGGAAGAATGTGTCTACTTTCCTTATTCAGGTAATTGTAGCTAGCTACACTCAATTTATTGTGTGCAAGTTTAGCTGATGGAGTAGCTAAAATTTCTAATTACTAGGTTTTGCCAACAGGCTGGCATTGCAAAGAAGGAACACATAAAGATTCATGGTTTTTGAGCAGCGGTAACAGGTCTAGCACATTGATGTTTATATGGTAGCCATTTTAGCTAAAACTAACTGATACGGTTATATGCTTGTGGCTGTGGCCCTTCTTCTTAATATTTATCAATATTTGTTTTATTGAAACTCAAAATTTTTTCTGAACTGGTTGATCTTATATTCTGTGTCGAAGCCACCTCGACGGAGCCAGTATCTAAGGGTTTCATAATGTTAAGGGCAATGGATTAGTGATAACCTGCTCTACCTTGAATTCTGGTATCAAGGCGAAAAGGTAACAAACTGCAGGGATAATGGCTCCTAGTTACAAATTCTGGTGGTGCTAATATTGAGGGATATTTTCAGATAAATGGATCCTCGAGTATATATATGTTTGTAAAATAACTTATGGGAAAAAGATTGAGCACTAGAACAAAGAGCAACTTGAATTTGCAATTTGATTTTACAAGCTTGATCTCTGATGCAACTTTTTGCTCTAAGATTATCCATGGTCGGCTCTTGTTGATCATGATTCAATTCTTTAATAGAGCTGGAGAAGTCTCAATTTTTTTGCTCAATGCAAGAAGTAGCTTCTGGATCAAAATTTGGCCCTTGAAAAACGCGGATCGAAGGTAGCCGAAAGGAGAAGACAGCGGCGCCAAATGATACGGTCCAAGGACTTACTGGCAGCTCGAGTTCAGTCTGTTCAGCTTAATTACTCATTATTTACGAGTCATTTTCAACAAAGCAGTTCTTTCAATTACTTCAGCTAGCGTTATCTACTAATCCCATTATCCAGAATCTGCAATCGTACAGCGTGTTTCAATAAAAAATGACTAGGAACACTTAATTTTATTTAAACAACTGTTCATGATGATAGTTGTTTCAAAAACAGAAAAACATACTTTTATTTAAACAACTGTTCATGATGATAGTTGTTCCAAAAAAAAACCAGCAAATGTACTTGTTTTATAACCGTCAACTATGTAAATCGTATCGGCTTCAAGATCTTGGCATAATTCGGCTTTGGAAAAGGTTCACTAACTATATTAGTGGAAAAGAATCTCACTTTCTCTGATGTTTAGTCTCCTTTCAAAAAGTTTATTCAAGAATACTCGGATTTGTTCTTTGACAATCCACTAGATTTTACAGGTCACTTTTCATTAAATATCTATGAATTACACAAAAAATGTAAAGCTTTGTCTAAGTTTGTTGGTGTTAGACTGTTAGCTTCAGGTCATCGAACCCATCTGAACCATAGGATCATATGCTTTTTCACATATCAAAACAGAAGAAACAGAAGACGAAAATGGGCCAATATATTATTTTCCGATCAATATCTCATTGATGGTGCTTTTGAAGCATATATTTACCAGCTCCATTGGCTAATTATGAACTTGGATAGGAACATTTCACCAACTATACGCGAAACTTCAAGGTAACTATCATATCATTATATTTTGGTTGGGTTCCTATCTATCTGGCTCCTGGTACAAGTCTACAACTATCCAATATAAAACTGGCCACCGGTATTGACGCCAGTTAAAAAGTAGTAATTTAAGAATTACAATGAACCATTATTCTCATGCTCCAACCCACCGTTAAAGAGCTCTGACAAATTGATAGCCAATGCAATTGCAATCTCTAGAATCTAATCATGCTGTGTTAGCAATTGGGTAACTTGAAATGAAATAAATATATTTATATTAGGCCACGGATGAACAGAGATCAGGTGATAATTCTAATCATTAATATATTCCGTTTCATATGATTTATAAATTGAAATATGTGAATCTTGATTCATGAGTCAATTGTTAATAAACATAATATGATTCATCCTCATTAATCAAAGTTACAAGCTAATCTTTATATCTCTGGTAAAACTTTTATCACAAACGATCTGATTGCTTTCTAGCCATAGGTTTGCACAAAAGCCTGCTTACACGCTTGAATCACATTAAAGAGAGCAAAACAATTGAACAGATAGCAAACAATGGAACAGATCCATTAAATGTGTTGGGACTCTGGAACGTGAGCTTCAATTAGTACCTTTGGGCACATCTAAACTTTAAATTTTACCACTGAAGGAGAACCGTTATTTTCTCTTAATAGTGGCAGGCGGCACTCTCTCTTTTTCAGTTTTTTTTTCAGATTTTAAAATTTTTATAAAAATATATATTCAGATTTTATTAATATTTAACTTTTTTTCATTTTCCCTTTTTTTAATATTTAATTATTTTTTCTAAAAATTACCAAAAAATTAATACAATAAAAAAATTTAAGAAACTACTTCTATTAAACTTTTTTTCACTTTTTCATTTTTACACCTTTTCTCTTTTTTATAAAAAAATAATAAGTTTTTTTTTAATTTTAATTTTTTTTACTCGCTTAATATAAATGGTATGTTACGTATATTTTTTTTTTTTTATTTTTATTTTAATTTTTTACTATTTAATTTTAAACTAGGTAGTGCCACATGTCAAATGCTCATGTTTTTTTGTTTGATTTTGTACTTTTTTTTTCATTTTGTACTTTTACTTTTTTAATATTTAATAAATATTTGATTTAAAATGATCAAAAATATATTTTTTATATTTTATTTTTTGTGTGAGATTTACTTATATAAAAAAAATTATTTACTTTTTCTTTTATAACTTTTTTGTTTTTTTCTAAAAATATTTAATAAATATATTTTTTAAGATTTTAAATTTTTTATGTGAGACTCATTTGAAATTAAGAGTATGCATATGTTTTTTCTTTTGTTACTTTTTCCTTTTTTATTTTTTATATATAGAATAAAAAAATTTTAATTTTTAATTTTTTTGTGAAACTCACACGATATAAAAAATATGTGACGTATCAAGTCATTTAATTTTTTTTATTTAATTTTTCCCTTTTCATTTTTAATAAATATTTTTAAAATTTTAATATGAGACTCATTCGATAATGTTATTCAAAATATATTTTTTATGTTTTGGTTATTTTTTAATTTAATAATTTACAAAGAAAAACTTATTAGCAAAGGTGTCTACGTTACATCCAAATTTAATTTTTTCTTTTATTTTTAAAAATTTATTATATAATTTTTTTCAAAAAAATCTCATTGTTACTAATGTCGAGTGACACCTCAACTTTTTTTTTTTTTGCTTTTTGTCTATTTGTTTTCTTTTTTTAGTTTTTTTATTTTTTTCTTTTAAAAAATTAGATCATTTTTTTGAAAAAAAATGCTAACGAATGTATATACATGACATCTTATTTCATTTTTTTCATTTGTCTTTTTTTTTTGTTTTTAATTAGATAAATCTTGCACCAAAAGAAATTGTTAAGTAAAGTTTTGATAAAAAATGTTAATAGAAATATATATGACAAAATAACCCTTATTTGATGAATTTCATTTATCCGAATCTAATAGATGTACTTTTTAATTTGAAATCAGATTAAATTTTTTTTAAAAAAAATCAAGATCAAATCGGATACGAGTTTAGTTGTTTCATCCATTTGGATATATATAAATATATTTATTATTCATTTAATTATATATATTATAATAATAAAATTATTGTTTAATACATTAATGTGCCATCTCTATTTTACTTATTTTTCTTTTCTTTTTTTTGTCATTTTCTTTTAGAAAAAGTTTTTTACTTTTTTAAATTACATAAATTTTATAAGAAATAAAGCAAATTGATATAGAAATGAAAAAAATAACTCATAATTATAGGTTTCGATTTGGCCTGAGCAAATACATGCTGGTTTTTAAAAAATTTGAAATCAAGTATTGATTTTTTATTTTTAAAATTGAGGTCGGATTGAAAATGTGTTTAAAATATTTTGTTTTACTTTGAGTATATATATAATTATTTTTATTTTTTAAAAAAAATTTAAAATTTTTACTTATTTAGATGCCAGGTGGCACTCATGAGTTTTTTTTTTTAACTTTTTCTTTCTTTCTATTTTTTCTATTTTTCTTCTTTTCATACTTAATAAATAATTTATTTTTTAAAATTATGTATAGGATCAATTTGATATTTTTATTAATTTTTTTCATTCATTTTTTAAATTATATAATTTTGTTAAAAAAAAAAAAAAAGACACCAATGAGAGTCTTGACATAGCTTTCAATTTTTTTTTTTTGACTAAATGCTCAATTAAGAATCTAACGTTTGTGAGTTTTTTTAATTAAAGATATTATCTTTAATTTGATTTAATGTAAGACTAAATGTTTTCAATTTAATTCAAAACAAGATTCGTAACAAAGGTGTATTCCACACAATAAAAATAAAGTGAAACAAATTATATGTCTTTGGTTGAAGAGGAAATAGGGATAAATTTGTAATTTTAATATTAAAGTGAAGTTATTTATAATGAAAACAAAAATTAAACATAAAAAATAATTATATTTTTAACATAAAAAATGCAAAAACTTAAAAATTTTTTAACATGAAAAATCTGCCATTTTTGTTTTTTCAAAAGCTAAGCTAAGACATTCCAATGACCAAAGAACAAATAAGGCAACATTTTTCAAATTTTGAAGCTTTCATCAAAAGGCAACATAAGTATTATCAATTTTCTAAAATTTCAACTAATTAATATGAAAGAAAATAAGAAAGATTAATACTTAAGAGACTTCCACCAATCCATCATTTTCTTACACTTTCTTGATATCCAAACACCCAAAAATTTATCAAAAAACTTCAAAAAAAAAAAAAAAACACTTCAAATCCAAAATTGAAATTGTATTATGTAATCAATCTTATTAAAGAATCAAACTTAAAAAAAAAAAAAAGCTATATGCTCAATATTTTAAAATGCATTAGATTTGGAAGAACCCTAAAATCTCTAAATTATATAAATATATATATATATATATATAACTCTTTTATCATATTCATCTTTTACTAGCATGATAAATTACATACAAAAACCACAAAAACCATATGTACCCAAAGCCAAAGTGGTCATAACCATAGCAAATCACAAAATTCACCTCAGATTCATCTATTTAGACATAATTATATCAAAAATTTTAAATAAAAGAATGAAAATTTAAGGGAATAAGAGATGGATTGATCAATAGTTATTCTTTTAAAAATCTGAAATCAAGATCTAGATTGTATTGACCTGAAAATTAAGAAAAGGAGCTGCTCAAATGGTGAAAGAGAGTTCAATTTTACACTTTCTTGTGGCTCATGCAACGATCGTTTTGATCCAAACTTAACCCCATCTTCTTCTCATGATTTGTTCTTTAAAGGAAGACTTGTACCTATTGAGCCAAACTCTTCTTTTGACTCAAAGCCTCCTCAATTCCCTGTGTCATTGTTGAAATCAGCCACCAAATTTTGAGCTTTGTTGTTAAGGTTCAAGAAATCAAAGCTTAACTTAATTGAAAATACAGATTCAACTTCAACTAATGGTTCTGTTTCTGTCCCCACAGTGACACAAAAAAAAAATAATAATAATAAAGCATAAAGAAAGAAGGCAAGAGAAAATAACAAAACGAGGAAGCATGGACGGCCAAAAGAAAGATTTTTTTCTATCCACAAGCAACAAATTTCGAAAGTATTGATGTTATTAACTAGTAAAAAAGCATAAAATTTTTGGATACATTTCTTTTTTAATTATTTTTTAAAAAAATTTTAAGTAATTAGATTTTTTTTTAATAGCGCATGTAATACACTTCTGTGATAAAATTCTATTTTGAATCAAATAAAAAACGTTTAGATTTATATTAAATCAAATTAAAAATGATATTTGAGAAAACTCACAAATATTAAATTTTTAGTTGATTATTTAATTTTTTTAATTTTTTAATTTATATTAAATTTTGTAAAAAAATGAGGTCAGGTATCCACGTATACTGTCATTTGGCTTCTTTTTTTTTATTATTTTTTTATACTTTTAAATTAGATAATTTTTATTAAAATAATTAATAAAAATAAAAATAATAAAATAATTTACATTCGATAAATTTTAATTTATCTTGATTTAATATATATGTTTTAAAATTTAATATCAGGTTAAGTTTTTTTTTTTTAAATAGAGGTCAGGTAGGAAGTGAGGTGTTTCATCTTACTTCGAGTTTATATAAAAATATTTTTTATTATTTATTTTAATTATATATATTATATTAAAAAAATTATTATTTAATATTTTAATTTAATTAAAATATTATTTTATACATAATTAGATGTAATTTTCATTAAAATTTTTATGTCAAATGCTCAATTTAATATTAAACTTTTAATGTGATGTTCAAATCTGGATTAAACCTTTTATTTGAGTTACATCAGAACCTAACGTTTTCGAGCTATAACAAATGAAGAAATTTTATGACAGAATAGTGTATGTGTATAACAGACGTCTTTAAAATGCGTTTGTATGAACCATTTATTATTTTTTACATGATGTGTAAGAGTCTTGGGTTATTTTTTAATTATGTGACATGATACATGACTAAACATACATTTTTAGAAATAATTGTATGATTAATTAACATAATTAGGGTAGTAGGGTAATTAATCATATTAATTGAGTTTAAAACTGAAAAAAAAAAAACATATTTTCTTTTCTCTAAAAAATCTCTGTTACCAAAACACTTTTTTTCTGATGATGTCCTATCTTTTCTCAACATTTACTCTCTTTCATCAAAACCCAAATTTATCTCTATATAAAAAACATATTTATCTCTCTTCCATTAAAGAATTTGTAAAATCGTCTGTACTTTCATCTAAATCAGTCTTTCTTCTTACCTAAAACCTAGCCCGATTTCGAAAGTGGGGTTTTTTTTTTTTTTTTTTTTCTTTTTTTGATCTAGAATGCAATGCTTCACCTAGAGTTTGTCTTACAACATCTGATCGGAACAACTTGAGCTGGGGTTTTTAAGGAAAGGTGCAGAGGTGAGTTTCAGGAGATTAGATTTTATATATGGGTTTTTGGTATTTTAGTGGGTGGATTCTTTTGAATATGATTGAAATAAAAGAAAATGTTTGAAGAGTATACTGCATAATTGAGAATGATTTGAATATGGGTTTTTCTTTTTGTTTTATTTTGATTTTGGGTTTGAATCAATTTCTTCAATTTCGAAAATGGGTTTATGAGTTCTGGGATTTTACATATGGGTTTTTGGAATTTTTGTTGGTGGATTTTGATCTTAATAATGATTCTGTTTCTGTTACTTTGAATTTGGTTTTGAATCAATTTCTTCTATTTTGAATATGGGTTTTAATCAGTTTTGAATTGATTTTTTTCTTCTAATTTTATTTTTTTTAAATAAGAGAAAATGTCACTGAATATCCACTTGAACAATTTCTTAGCCATTTGTTACCCTTAACTTAGTTAACGGAGCGTGTACAGTACGCACAAAGTTACCTCACAAAAAGTCCTTATTTATTACAATCCGAAAACATTTGGTTTTTAATTTAACTCAAATATAAGCGCATATATATATATAAATATATAAATAAGAAAATTTTGAGTTAAATAGGTTATGTAATCTTTCAATTTAAGATATGTAATTATAAATTGTATATTTAGAGATAATTTCAACAAATAATTATTAATAAAATTTGAATTTAAAATTTTTTCATCGAAAAAGATAAATTTTAATTAATTAAATTAATAACTTATTAGTAACTCAAATAAAAGCTTTACTCATTTTTAATCATCACCTTAAAAGTTTAGTTTTAAATTGAATGTTTAGTCAAATTTTTATAAATATTATATTAAATTTAAATCATTTACTTAATTTAAGATTAATGTGAGTCGAAATGTGAGGTGTAAATTTATATGTGGAGTTGAAATTGATTATAAAATATAATAACTTGAGGTCGGATTAGAATTGAAGTTAAGTTGAAATTGTTATAACAAGGGTTCAGAGTAAAGATAAATATAAATTTGTTGGAACTCGTCCCGTTGTGATCCTTAAATGGAGTTGTACAAGTGACACATCTTGACTTTTTTTTTGCATGGACACTTTATGGGGCGTTTGCCTTTTTTTTTTTTTTTTCGAAGAAAAAACTTGGGATATTCATTAAACTTTAAAGAGTATTACACACTCTCTCTACTACTGAGACAACGAGTTTTGGGCAATCCTTAACCCAATATTTGGTTTCATTTATTCCTAAAGCGAGTCTCGCCAACATGTGAGCTGCTTCATTTGCTCCCCTTCTGGCATGTAAACACAGAGAGTCTGCCATTTGCCTCAGTTTCGTCTTTGTCACTTCCATAAGGTTGCCAATAGGAGACAGGTCAGGTCCCTCATGCTGCAACAACTTGGTAATGCCCAGATCATCCCCCTCTAGTTCAATCCTATCCTTTCCCATATCAGTAGCAAAATCGATAGCTTTGACGGTTGCCAGCCCTTCTACGTGCATGGCATTATCCATGTTCTAGTCGGCATTGACATTGTACCTAGGACTTCTCCTCTATCATCCCTTATCACTACCTCATTGCCTTCTTCCTTAGTCTCAGATTTAGTGGCTCCATCAAAATTCACTTTGCATCTATTGCCACTGGGTTCTTTCCAAACACCCTTCTCGCACACTGGTTTGCTTATGTGTTGTTCTTGGGCCTTTTTGTGCTCTGCCCAGTATTTTATGGCAAAGGTTGCAATTGTTTACTGTTGTCTTCTTATATTGTTTCTAACTTTCATCATTTCTGCTCTTCCAGATTGACTAGCAAAGTGTTAACTACAGTTCAAATTTGTTTCTTTCCATAATTCCCACTGTATAGGTCATCCATTCCATGATGATTTGGTAACTATCTCCCTCCCTGCATTCAGTCTCCATGCTAGCAGCTTTCCACACATCAACAACTGATGGGCACTCCTTTATGGCATGCAGAACAGATTCCTCACTTCGGTTGCATGTTGGGCAATTTGCATCTTCCAGCATTCTCCTCTTCTTTAGGATTACATACACCAGCAACAGTTCACGTGCTAACCTCCACCCAAAGATTTTTACTTTGTTTGGCCGTCGAGCCCTCCATAATTTGTTCCAGATTTTCTTTGTCCTCCTCTCTTCATCATGTTCTGTCGTCCTTTGCCCATCTTGATTCGTCTGACCTATGTTGCACAAAAGGTGATACACAATCCTACGGTATATTGACCACTTTTTTTTTTTAATTGTTTGCTTTAGTATATTTTCTCTATATTTGGAATGATAAATGAGCAATTGAAGTGTCAACACAACACCTCTATTTGACTTACTTTTTTTTTTTTTTTCTATTTTAACCCATCCTTTTATTTTGTTTTGTATTTTTGTTTTGCTTTTTTTAATGATATAAATTTTGTAAAATATATGCTGAGTGGAGATAATGAAGTGATTTGTATCTAACAAATTTTGACTTGTCGATTTAACATTGATCATATTATATATGATTAAAATATAATTTATATTAAAAAATAATATTTTCTTGAATATTATACTTTTGATATTTTTTTATCATTGGGTATGGGTTATATATATATATATATATATATATTTATTTATTTAGGGCTAAGTGTAAAAAATAATAACCCTGATGAATATAAACTTGATCTGTTGCCATTTTTAAGTGAAAGTATCCATGTGATATTTTTATTTGGCTTTTTTATTTTGTTTTTTGCCTTTTTTTATTTTTTACTTTTTTTAATTGTTTATTTTAATATTTTTAATAATGTTTGTAAATATAAATTTAAAAAATTAAAATTAAATTTGATTTATTATATAAGTTACGGGGATAAAATGCATATGTTATTTATAATTTAGTTGATAAGTTTTCACTGATAATTAATTTTGTTAAAAAATTATAAATACAATTATATTTATTGATTTATAAAATTTATCTTAAATATTATTAATTATAAATTTTAAAAAAATTTGAATTTACAGTGAGGCGCGGGCATGAACACAGTGTAAGTAAATTTTCATGCACAATAATGAATCGTCCTGTCCCACTCCCACTGGATTGCTGGATTCAGGGCCACGGTAGAGAACGACTTGATTGACCCTGATATGTACCGCCGAAAGGTCTTTTACTTCGTTTCTTCCTTAGTTTTGATACTATCATATCTCATCCACATGTAGATAGCTGCATGCCAAAAAAGCAAGCCACACAAACTCTTCTTTAATGCCTCAACTACCCATCAAACTAGTTAGACCGTAACCATAGCTGTCATTCAACTACCATTCCTACTTTCTTATGCCTCGGACTGAAGATATTATAATTACGCTGTTTAAGCGACAGCATAGGTTATAAAACGATTCGCATTGGCTGTTTACTCAGTTGTAGGTGTTTTTTCGAGATCCTTTATCTCCTTCAGGCTTCAACTTCATATGGCTGACTCTGAACATTCCTCTTCTGGCAAAACTTATGTGGAGTCTCGAGGTACTCCGCCACGTAATTACCCTCTCGGTTCTCAGTTTCACTATTTTTTTTTTTTTAGTTGTTTGTTTAACAGAGCGGTTTCTTTGTTTTCGCGGAAGGGATCTTAGGATTTTCTTCTTTTCAACAACAATATATATCCCTAATCTCTTTTCAAAGAGATCTGCAAAAAAATCTCTTTTGTTTTCATATAGATATAGGCAATGTTAAATTTTTATGGTACCTCTTTTTAATTGATGCTCGACCTTTACTGCAATTTTGAGCTTAGCTCCAGTGGTATGGTGGGGTTTTGGAATATAAATTATTTAAGTTTGAGTTATGATCCTTCTTTCGTGCATTTTCATCAGAGGAAACAAGTGAAGATTCAAAGCTTAAATTCTCTGAAGATGAGGAGACACTTATAATTAGGATGTATAATCTGGTTGGAGAGAGGTTAAATTCGTTTTCTTTTTCCCCTCTTGGTTTTTCTTGCAAGGCGTTTCTTTCTCTCAAGATATGCCTAAATTTTACAGGTGGGCTCTTATTGCTGGGAGAATCCCTGGAAGGACAGCCGAGGAAATCCAAGAGTACTGGAATACTAGGTACTCGACGAGTGAATGATGTATCTTAAAACATGGTGATACTTTCCTCTGCCAATTACAGACAACAGAGTATGGTGGGTACTTGTTTCACCGACATAAAACAGGTTAAGAAGATATTAAGTTCGAATTGGCTTCAAATTCGAATTATGCTTGTTCCTGTAACTCTCCAAATTTGATATTTTGGGTTTCACCACTTTCTCTTATCATGATCGTGCCATAGAATATCTTCATAAGTGTTTTCATCATTCAGAAAGAATCTGGAGAAAAATCACCATGCCCCTGGTTCACCATCAACCACGTTTACCCAATGATCTTGTTTGATAATATATGCAACACCAAGTTAGACCAAATTAAACAAAGCTTTGCCTGCATAGATTCTAGCAAGATAATAATAAATGCATATAACATGATTTGAATTCAAGACTCAGCCTGAAAGTTTTGGCTTTTACATTCCAATTTAAACCCTATTTAAGTGGCATGCTACTCAAACCAGATGCCTCAAGGCATCATCCCTCCAGGAAGGAAGGGAAAGGAACCAATAAATACCCATGCAATGAAGCAGATAAATAACAAATCTACCGATTGCATGGTCAACATAAATAAAATCATAGTCAACCCAACTTAAAGTTTGGCCCTTGCAAACTTGATTGAAAAGAAAACCGATTTTGGAGCAATTAGTACCACTTGTTACTCCAGCTATAGACATGATTAGTGGCATACCTATATTGAAAGGATTCTGTTTGCTAGTAAAATCATGAAAGGAAAGAAATACAAATGATCAGAAAGAAGACCAACAAACATACAACATAAACATTAACAGTTTGATGATCGTTTACAGCCTCTGTTACCACGTTGGTGAGTTATCAATGATAAAGAGCAACAATGATATCTACTTGAAGATCAGCTACTACACCTTATTATACATTGCTCTGCTTGTAAAGCTTGGTGTCAAGCACTTGCTTACCACACATAGCACATACCCCTGCACAAAATATAACACCCATCAGATGTCACAATAAACGATAATAATAATCATAAAATCAATCAAATGGCAAGATTAGGCAACATCAAATAATCATACCTTTGGAATAAGCACAAGTGTGACAATACTTGGCGTCTTGATGCACTTGCTGCTTGCAAATGAGGCACTTAGTATTTCCATAAGGAGTCCACCTGCAAGCAATAAATTCGAAATCAAAATTAAGAAGTATGAAAGAAAAAATCCAAAATCATGCATGAAAAACACGAGGGATAATTTGACCACATAAGAGCATTGCATAGATAATCAGCATTGTTGAAAGAAGTTACTAATCACACACAAGAAGAAACAACTAAATACTAAAGATATTGTACAAAAGCAATTGTAGCTAAAATCCTTAGCCCTAAGTTATGTTTTTGACCATTACCTTCAGTAATAAAGAGAACCCCAGAAAACTAGCAGTCAAATAAAATTAATTTCGCAACGGCAAGAAGAATAGTGTATTACCAATTCGCAAAGGCTATTTTGCTATATGCTAATCAGAACTATGAGGCTTTCAACATCAAAGAACTCAGTTCCAAACTTGGATGAATTAATGATAATTTACAGCAATAATAAAGTCATTCCGTACAGGTACAAAAGAGTATTTGGACAGCAAAGCAGCACAGGTACAAAAATCTTGGAGGAGGTCAAAGAGGCAGTAAGGCTAAGGCTACACCGTACGCTACAATCGAACAAGGATGTCAACCAGCTTCTTCACCTGAACTGGGATCTTGACTAGCAAATGGATCGATGAAAGTATCTCTATTACATTCTTTTGTATGCATTATGCTAGTGATTCTTTGCAGCAGAACTTTTTGCTTTTTTTTTTTTAAATAAAAATTAATTCATTTATTTAAAAAAAAAAAAAAAAAAACTCATTCCTTAAATGAAAATCAACTGATCAACAAGTATTGCTACAAGGCAAACTAATATTCTACAAAATCAATTTAAAAAATCTCAATTTGTAACTGAGATTTAAAATTTGATCATGTTTTGCAAATTAGTAAATAAAACTTACAAGATTGAAAAGGGAGAGGGTAAAAGAAAAAGACCTGTGCTTTTTGGAGAGGAGCTTATTCTCGTTGATTTTCCGGCCACCACTTTCGGTGGTGTTGGAGGCGCCTTCCTTCCATTTATCAGGCACGATCACCTTCGATAGCTTCTTCTGGCCTGTAAATTAAATTAAATTAAATTAAATTAATCAAATCCATTAGCTTTTTCTTTAAAATTTTCAGATTATTAACATTGCAAATACCCCCTATTAATCCGAAAACTAGATTAATTGCAGAGTGAAAAAAAAACTTACACTTCTCGCACACCATTGGAGTTCTTTGCTTTGCTCTGCAGCTTTCCCCTCTTCGGATTTTCGAAATCGGAGACCAAGGATTGTTTTTGTTTTGTTTCGTAAAATGACAAGAATACCCTTGCATTGGGAGTAAACTATTAAGCTAAGCCCGAGTGGTATTAAATGGGCTTAAGGATAATATAGGCTCTGACCCAAAAAAAAAAAAAAGGCTCACATTTGGCTCCGACCCCAAGAAATAAGGTTAACATTCGCTATTGTGATCTTTTGCCGTTGCTAACTTCCATACAATTCATTCATAGTATCTAAATCCAAACTAACATATCCTTCTTAAAAAGAATCTGAAGTACCCTACAAAGGGGTTGCTATTCACATGATGGGTAAATTTAATTCATAATCCCTAATTTTTTTTATTTTCGTTTCATTTCACTTATAACTTTTGAATTGTTTTATTTTGATCCTTAATCTCTTTAAAACGCTCATTTTGGTCCTTTTGTCATATTTTCCCAATTACAATTGAGAAAAATATTCAGATAATATGTCATGAAAATGTTCACATGGTGCCACACAAGCTACAACATGGGTGAAGACCAAAATGGAACTATTTAAAAGTTATAGACTAAAACATAATCAAAATAAAAAGATTGGAGATCACGGACAAAATTCATCACTAATAAATATAAAAAAAATGAGTTTTGTAAATTATGAATGCTATGTTTGGAAAAAAATTTGAGAGTAGATTTATATTTAGTTTATTATATAAATTGTGAGAATAAAATACATATATTATGCATAAATTAATTAAAATTCAATAAATTTATATATTTGAAAGAGTATAATAAGATAAATTTCAAATTCTCTTATAGCTAATGAGAGTTTCAACATAAAGAACTCAATTCCAAGCCTAAAAGAATTAATGATAATTTACAGCAACAATAAAGCAATTCCTATCAACAAGCATTGCTACAAGCCAAAGTAAAATTCTATTAAATCATTTTTTAAAAAATCGCAATTTGTAACAGAGATTTATGCTACGATTGGTTATAGAAAGTAATTTTTTATTTTAATTTTTTGAAAATGATTTTTTTTTTTTTAAATTTGTAAAACACGTTTGGTATACAAATATGAAAAGTTGTTTTAAAAAAATGAAAATCGTGAAAATGTGTTTGGTATTTTTATTTTCAAAACAAAAAAAATGAAAAATAATAATTAAAGTAAATTAGATCTTTTAAAATGGTAATATGTAACTAAATAAAAAAAGTAAATGGTAATTAAAATAAACATCAAGATTCAAATAAAAAAGTTCGTAATATTAATAAAATATTAATAAAATATTTTTTATTATCAAACAATTAGCATAACCTCCTAATTGCTTTAGTTTTTGAAAAATCAATTTTGTCTATAATTATTCCATAACGACTTAGCAATCTGTTCTCTAACTTGAGCCATTTTAATTATTTGTGATATATCAAATGCAATTTGCTCATTGATCGAATTGGTAAAAATTGTTTCCATGTCATCATATTTTTTTATGTTTTCCCTTTCAATATCTTCAAATAATTCATAACTTTCAATCTAATAAAATTATGCATAGCATAACATGTTTTTGATAAATGACATGCTTTCTAAGAGGATAATTAAGCATATCCCTTGATATAGCTGCTCTTGAAAACTGTTGAACATCATATTGGCATCATCACTAATTTACTCTTGGAAAGCATAAAGAATACCATCAATCACAAGTTCTTCTAACCTCGCATCAATGTCAGATGCACCCAAGTTTGCAACCACCTTTTCAGTTGTTTCCATTAACATAGGCTTATAAGGTTCACTCTCATCCTTAAAAACCTCACTATTCTCCTTACAATACCAGTAACACCTAATTTGTTCGTCACCTTAATAGTTGTCTCAACAAGCTATCTATAATTTCTCTTATCTAAAGACATCCTTCTAACCTATAAATTCTTAAAGAACTTAAGTAGAATATCATTCCTAATATAATTAGCTTCAACAGCCTCTATGCTTACACAGTACTTCACCACTTTAAGCACAGCTTTTTTCATTTCTTTATTAGAAGACTGGAACTCAAGAATAAAGTTAAACATAACTTCTTTTGTACAGTAACTAGTATAAATTGCATCCACTAAAGGAATGATAAAAGCAATGAACTTAAAAAATGCAACCAATACTTTTATATTACTAACTTTTATATTAAATAAACATACAATTAACCCAGTTAATTTTCACTAAATCATGCCAAGCATGAAATATCTGCACTCAATCAACTAAAGCAAAATGATTCCACAATAACCATCAAAACCCTTTTGATTTTTTTGCTGCGTGAATTGTGAGAGAGGAGAGAAATAGCGACATTTTTGGGTGGAGAAAAAAAAAGATTGAAGCAATAATGAAGATGGAGGTCTAGTACACCAATAAATTGGCTTGATCAATGATGGTGGCTAATTGAAATTAACCTAAAAGGAAGTTAAATCAATTTTGATTATTAGTGGAGCACTTGCAGAATGAGAATAAAAGCTACAAGTTTGACATATTTATGATAAACACCAAAATTAAATAAAACATAAAAGAAGAATGCCTTTTTGTAGAATCTAACCCAAATCCTTGTAAGATAAAGTAAAAAAGTTTTAAAGTCCTATGTTTTCACATTCTCTATTTCTCCCAAATCGTTTTCATTAAAAATATTGAAAACATCTCTTTTTTCCCTCTAATTTTGTCATTTTCATTTTCTTTTTCTAAATTTTTTTTTATTTTTTCATCCAAACATGTTTTTACCCACATTTTCTATTTTATATAAAAATGAAAAAAAAAACTATATTTTCTTGAACCAAACATTATCTTAATGTTTGATCATGTTTTGTTAATTAGTAAATAAAAGTTTTAAAATTGAAAAGGGAGTGGGAAAAAAAATACTTATGTTTTTTAAAAAGGAGTTTATTCTCGTTGATTTTTTTGCCACCGCTTTTGGTGGTGCTGAAGGTGCCTTTCCTCCATTTGTTAGGCACAATCACTTTCAATAGCTTTTTCTAGTTGTCGTAACGGTTTTGAGATCATCAGACGTGATATGTCTTAAAATCGAGAAAAATAAAAGAAAGTCGCCACCAATCTTTGTTATGGTATGATTGATCACTCAAAAGTTTATCTTTTTAATAAAACTGTAAAGCGAGTTTAAAGTTTATCAAAAAATAAATTTTGGTCTACGAAAAATCAGGTTGGGTTCGGGAGTCGGTTACGTGTGGGAAATGATTAGCACCCCTACAACGCTCATAAATTGGTACCATTTAATTGCGCGTTATTTTCGGTGTTGGATAAAAATGGTTTTGACTTGAAATTTAATACTAATTCCCTTCGTTTAAAAGAATATTTTTGCTAAAATTTTTGTTTAGAAATATTGAGAAAATTTTTAAGTTAAAGAATTATCTTAAAATTTTCTAACATCTAGGCAGAATTTAAAATAACTCTTTTCGCTTAAAATTTAACACAATAATCTTTAAAAAGAAATAACAATCTTTATAGAAAATAATTGTTAGTGACTCTTCAACATCTAGGCAGAGTACTAAGAATTATTTCTTTAGAAATGTTATTTTTATTTTATTTTGTAATATCACAATTTTTTTTAAAACGTATTATTCTTTTTTTTTATTGTAAAATATTTTATCACAGAGTAGTAAATAAAAATCAAAGACAGAATAATGCAAATAATTAATAATGCTAATGTATGTATGCCAATGAGTGTTATGTAAAATGAAATACAATTTTAAAGTTGGATTCTTAAGTATAATGAGACCACTCCGACTCTCCAACATCTAAGCAGAGCTTAGGTGCGAGTATTTATATTTAAGATTCCAATTTACTCTTATACTTTTTTATTTAGTAATCTTATTATTAATGTGAATTAAGAACTCGTGTGAAAAACTTAATGAAATGAAATTTCTTAAATACCCCATCATTTAGACAACATTCGGGAACAAACTATTTCATGTGAGGTTTTTACACGTATTCTTAAAGTTTTGAAATAGATTTAGGGTAAGGGTTTAAGGTTTAAGTTTTAGGGTTTTCAAGATTTTGAAGATTCGGATTTTAGGGTTTTGGTTAGAGTTTTGAGGGTTTTAGGGTTTAATTTTAAAGTTTAAAGGGTTTTAAGGCTTGAATTTTAGGGTATGAAAGGTTTGGAGTTTAATGAAAATACAAACATCTCTAAAAATCTCCAACATCTAGACAGACTTTCGGAGCAAGTTCAATTTTGTAATTTAAAAATTAATTTAAGAAACATAAATTTTTATTTTAAAATGTTTTTTTTAAATCATTTTTTATGAAAACTTATTATCAAAATTATTAAGTTGTTTAGTATTTTTATAATAATAATTCCCCAACATCTAGGCAGAATTATTATTCTTGAAATATGATTTAATTTCCTCCAACATCTACGTAGGAAAAATGAAAAATTATTTTATTATTATGATTCTTTAAGCATTTTAAAAAAAATTTAATTATTATCTTATATTGTTCTCATTTTATTATTATTAAAAATAAGTAGATATTTATCCTAATAAATTTAAAAATGTTATCATGCATAAATATAAAAACTTAAAATAACAAAAATAATAATATATAAAAAAATAGAAAATTAAATTAAAAAATTTTTTTTTACCTGAATCGGATCGGTTAACGGTCTGGTCAAAGCTGGTCTGGATCGGTCTGACCGATTTGACAGTTCAATCAGTGGTTCGGGCGATCCAGCGTTCGGACCGGTTCGACTGGTTCGTTGGCGGTTCGTTTGAACCGGCTGGAGTTGGCTGAGACGGGTCGACGGATCGATTTACGAAATTTCGGGTTGGGTTCGATCCACGCGTGGATCCTCTTATGTTTGAAACGACATCGTTTTGGTCCTATACTCAAAACGACATCGTTTTGATCCTATGCTCAAAACGACATCGTTTTGATCCTATGCTCAAAACGACGTCGTTTTGCTTCTATGTTTTTTATAAAAGTCAGCCCTTTTTTTTTTTTTTTTAGTTTATTGTTCTGTTTCTGAGAAAGAAAAAAGGAAAGAGAGCTCTGTAAAAAGGTTTGGGGCCCTCGTTGTCCGGTCCTCGGAGTGTCACGTTAGCC